TTGTGTCCTGCTGGAGGTCATCATTGTTGAGTTGGTCACACGGGAGATATGTTCCTCACTATAAGCAGGCATGGTGTCCTGCTGGAGGTCATCATTGTTGAGTTGGTCACACGGGAGATATGTTCCTCACTATAAGCAGTCATTGTGTCCTGCTGGAGGTCATCATTGTTGAGTTGGTCACACGGGAGATATGTTCCTCACTATAAGCAGTCATTGTGTCCTGCTGGAGGTCATCATTGTTGAGTTGGTCACACGGGAGATATGTTCCTCACTATAAGCAGTCATTGTGTCCTGCTGGAGGTCATCATTGTTGAGTTGGTCACACGGGAGATATGTTCCTCACTATAAGCAGTCATTGTGTCCTGCTGGAGGTCATCATTGTTGAGTTGGTCACACGGGAGATATGTTCCTCACTATAAGCAGTCATTGTGTCCTGCTGGAGGTCATCATTGTTGAGTTGGTCACACGGGAGATATGTTCCTCACTATAAGCAGTCATTGTGTCCTGCTGGAGGTCATCATTGTTGAGTTGGTCACACGGGAGATATGTTCCTCACTATAAGCAGTCATTGTGTCCTGCTGGAGGTCATCATTGTTGAGTTGGTCACACGGGAGATATGTTCCTCACTATAAGCAGTCATTGTGTCCTGCTGGAGGTCATCATTGTTGAGTTGGTCACACGGGAGATATGTTCCTCACTATAAGCAGTCATTGTGTCCTGCTGGAGGTCATCATTGTTGAGTTGGTCACACGGGAGATATGTTCCTCACTATAAGCAGTCATTGTGTCCTGCTGGAGGTCATCATTGTTGAGTTGGTCACACGGGAGATATGTTCCTCACTATAAGCAGTCATTGTGTCCTGCTGGAGGTCATCATTGTTGAGTTGATCACACGGGAGATATGTTCCTCACTATAAGCAGTCATTGTGTCCTGCTGGAGGTCATCATTGTTGAGTTGGTCACACGGGAGATATGTTCCTCACTATAAGCAGTCATTGTGTCCTGCTGGAGGTCATCATTGTTGAGTTGGTCACACGGGAGATATGTTCCTCACTATAAGCAGTCATTGTGTCCTGCTGGAGGTCATCATTGTTGAGTTGGTCACACGGGAGATATGTTCCTCACTATAAGCAGTCATTGTGTCCTGCTGGAGGTCATCATTGTTGAGTTGGTCACACGGGAGATATGTTCCTCACTATAAGCAGTCATTGTGTCCTGCTGGAGGTCATCATTGTTGAGTTGGTCACACGGGAGATATGTTCCTCACTATAAGCAGTCATTGTGTCCTGCTGGAGGTCATCATTGTTGAGTTGGTCACACGGGAGATATGTTCCTCACTATAAGCAGTCATTGTGTCCTGCTGGAGGTCATCATTGTTGAGTTGATCACACGGGAGATATGTTCCTCACTATGAGTAGTCATGGTGTCCTGCTGGAGGTCATCATTGTTGAGTTGGTCACACGGGAGATATGTTCCTCACTATAAGCAGTCATTGTGTCCTGCTGGAGGTCATCATTGTTGAGTTGGTCACACGGGGGATATGTTCCTCACTATAAGCAGTCATTGTGTCCTGCTGGAGGTCATCATTGTTGAGTTGGTCACACGGGGGATATGTTCCTCACTATAAGCAGTCATTGTGTCCTGCTGGAGGTCATCATTGTTGAGTTGATCACACGGGAGATATGTTCCTCACTATGAGTAGTCATGGTGTCCTGCTGGAGGTCATCATTGTTGAGTTGGTCACACGGGAGATATGTTCCTCACTATAAGCAGTCATTGTGTCCTGCTGGAGGTCATCATTGTTGAGTTGGTCACACGGGGGATATGTTCCTCACAATGAGTAGTCATTGTGTCCTGCTGGAGGTCATCATTGTTGAGTTGGTCACACGGGAGATATGTTCCTCACTATGAGTAGTCATTGTGTCCTGCTGGAGGTCATCATTGTTGAGTTGGTCACACGGGGGATATGTTCCTCACTATAAGCAGTCATTGTGTCCTGCTGGAGGTCATCATTGTTGAGTTGGTCACACGGGAGATATGTTCCTCACTATGAGTAGTCATTGTGTCCTGCTGGAGGTCATCATTGTTGAGTTGGTCACACGGGAGATATGTTCCTCACTATGAGTAGTCATGGTGTCCTGCTGGAGGTCATCATTGTTGAGTTGGTCACACGGGGGATATGTTCCTCACTATAAGCAGTCATTGTGTCCTGCTGGAGGTCATCATTGTTGAGTTGGTCACACGGGGGATATGTTCCTCACTATAAGCAGTCATTGTGTCCTGCTGGAGGTCATCATTGTTGAGTTGATCACACGGGAGATATGTTCCTCACTATAAGCAGTCATTGTGTCCTGCTGGAGGTCATCATTGTTGAGTTGATCACACGGGAGATATGTTCCTCACTATGAGCAGTCATTGTGTCCTGCTGGAGGTCATCATTGTTGAGTTGATCACACGGGAGATATGTTCCTCACTATAAGCAGTCATTGTGTCCTGCTGGAGGTCATCATTGTTGAGTTGGTCACACGGGAGATATGTTCCTCACTATAAGCAGTCATTGTGTCCTGCTGGAGGTCATCATTGTTGAGTTGGTCACACGGGAGATATGTTCCTCACTATAAGCAGTCATTGTGTCCTGCTGGAGGTCATCATTGTTGAGTTGGTCACACGGGGGATATGTTCCTCACTATAAGCAGTCATTGTGTCCTGCTGGAGGTCATCATTGTTGAGTTGGTCACACGGGAGATATGTTCCTCACTATAAGCAGTCATTGTGTCCTGCTGGAGGTCATCATTGTTGAGTTGGTCACACGGGAGATATGTTCCTCACTATAAGCAGTCATTGTGTCCTGCTGGAGGTCATCATTGTTGAGTTGGTCACACGGGGGATATGTTCCTCACTATAAGCAGTCATTGTGTCCTGCTGGAGGTCATCATTGTTGAGTTGGTCACACGGGGGATATGTTCCTCACTATAAGCAGTCATTGTGTCCTGCTGGAGGTCATCATTGTTGAGTTGGTCACACGGGAGATATGTTCCTCACTATAAGCAGTCATTGTGTCCTGCTGGAGGTCATCATTGTTGAGTTGGTCACACGGGAGATATGTTCCTCACTATAAGCAGTCATTGTGTCCTGCTGGAGGTCATCATTGTTGAGTTGGTCACACGGGAGATATGTTCCTCACTATAAGCAGTCATTGTGTCCTGCTGGAGGTCATCATTGTTGAGTTGGTCACACGGGGGATATGTTCCTCACTATAAGCAGTCATTGTGTCCTGCTGGAGGTCATCATTGTTGAGTTGGTCACACGGGGGATATGTTCCTCACTATGAGTAGTCATTGTGTCCTGCTGGGGGTCTTCATTGACGGTTCGTGCATCGTGGGCATGGGTGATGTCGTCCAGGGCCCCTCTGCACAAAGCGATCTTAAGTCTATGTTAAAGTACGGAAGTTACATCGTCTCAGTGCTGACATTCCTTTGTGGAACGGGGTACACAACCTTGCAACCCAAGAAAGGGTGTTTGTATGTTGTCCCCTTACAACTGTCCAGTGACCCTTCCTTGCACAATATGGAGTGAGGTTCGCTCTGTCCTGGAGATGACAGCCCTCATCATAAACAATCAACCGCCAAGTCTGTCACGAGGTGCCAGGTTGACATTTGCTTGGCGTTAATTGCGATAGCGCCAGACACGACCACACCCATCAAGGAAATGCAATGTGAATCACGAAAACGTGACACGCGACCAGCGATGATCACCCCAGTGGCGACGTTGTGAACACCATTGACGTCTGTTGGCATTATGACGATTTATAAGGGGCGGCACAACACTTGGCCTTTCACAGACTGTAAACAATTCAGAGTATTGGTCACTGCATGTTGCAGGTCTGTTCCAGCATCCAATAGCCCCCAGACGCTCCGCGCATTGCTGATTGACATAAATAATGGCCCACAGAGATAAATCAAATCTGGAATGACACCTTACGCACGGGTGTGGCGCGTTCTTGCATAGATGTTTGTCGTCAACACTACAATAATGTCTTATCTTTGTTCTAATAATTGGTTTTAACCAAATAAAATATAATCCCCTATTTTTTAAAGGGAATAAATGTTTTCGTTTCAACAGCTTTCAAAAAGGTTTATGGTAGACATGTGGATGACTTTTCAAATTTGCAGCATCAGTGACAAAAATGATGTTCGATGCAATTCTCTATATTTTACTTGTTCAGGTGAACATTTGACTTGCCTTTGCATGTGTTGATGGGTGCCACCGGTTACTAGGATTTCATAATTACACAGCAACAAATGATTTATCTCTCGTGAGTGGAATTAGCTGAACAGTCTTTATTTCAGTAATGTCACGGCTGTCGGTTTAGCAAGGGATGAAAGCCCTAATTGTGATACAGGGAACAGACATTCACCAATTAGAAAAATCCTCTAGCAAAGAGTTTATATTAGTGCTACGAACCAACGCTCATATTGCGATACCGGTATTCGAACCATTGACCTCTGAACTAATGGTTGTTTTTTAATTGCATTGATTATTTGTGAAGCAACCTAAGCAATGTGTCGTCAGACTCTGTTGCAAACAATTGAAAATTGCTTCATATTTTTTTCATAACGTCACATGAGTTTTTTCTCACCCATTGTTCCATCAACAGTTTGCTTGTTTGTTTGTTTGTTGTGTAACGCCACACTCAGCAATATTCCAGCTGAATGACGGCGGTCTGTAAATAATCGAGTCTGGATCAGACAGTCCAGTTATGGATATCATGAGCATCGACCCATGCAATACGATACGCGTACATGTACAAGTCTGACCAGCCGATCCCGTTAGTCGCCTCTTACGACAAGCAATGTCACCTTTCACGTCAAGCAGGGTTTGCTGAAGACCTATTCTACCCCGGATCTTCACGGAACTCTGAACTAATGACACGGACAATCTTTCCACATGGCATCAACAGATAACTACGTACTAGCCAACCAACAAGACCAATGACACAGCTTGTTTATGAAAGACGAAAACATCTTTATTCATACCATGAGCCTGAGGGACAACGATACACGTTGGGGCAGGTCTCAGTTGACAGGCGAGTCCTCAATTATGACAGGGCCAAACCTAACTCTGTTCCGCCCCTCCTGTCTGGAAGTGCTCCTCTTCCCCGGTGATTGACAGGTCTGCTGGCAGGAGGCGGAGCTATCTTGTACCGGACAGACTCTGACGTCACACGTGATGTACACCTGGTTGTAGTTCCCCGCGAATTTGAACACCTTCATCTGAAAGTCTGTGTAGTGGTTGGTTGTCCTGAGGACGTGTGTCCCACTGTCCACTGTGCAGCTGGAACACATGGCAGAGTTAATACATGGAATGGAATGAAAGGTCGGGGGTGTAATTGCTTCAAGATTACAATACCAAAGGGGCGCTTACATTAATCTTTACAAATTAATTCATTTTTTTGTACAATGCTATGTAATATAAAAAAAACAACGACTGAAGATATTGCCGTTATGAGTGTTGAAATTGATGTGATGTTTTAACTTCGATGCAAAACACTTGGCTTCATCTTACGATGCTTGATGTGGACAATAAACGACCCGTGGCTATCGTTAATCCCATTGAAAGGATACAATAATGTGATTGGGTAAATAATTTGCAAAACAGACATGTCTGCCAAGATAGATTTGCAATGGGCCAGCTTTGCTCAACATTGTGACGTCATCGGTGACCATGACGTCGTTGATTGATTTTAAAATGTTCTCTGCAAATCCCATAACTTTCACCGTTAATCGACTCGTCTCTATATTTCTTCAAACATTCTCTTAAAAGCTTTTTCTTGTTTTAAAGTACATGACATTGCTTCATTATTATATTAGTTCACATTTAATATGATGGCTCGAATGTCTTGACAGAAGGGCGAGCGAGCCACACCATAAACATGATAGTGCTGTACATACCTGCCCTCGGTGAGGGAGTACTTAGTGCCCACTGTCTCAGAGGATGTCGGTAGAGCAAAGCATGACGTCACCACAAGCTTCAAGTCCGAGTCAGCCTGGTCCAGTTGTACCCTGGCACGACACACAAGCGTCAACACATGTCACGTCCTTACTTTATTAAATCGTAACCAGTTGATGATACTCATCTTGATCATCCTAGTCACGTATTAATTCTTTATGTGTACATGCTTATTAGGGGGGCACGGGTGGCCCAGTCGTCTAAGGCGCCGCGATTCGCTGTGCAGAGTTGCGTCGCCTGGGCACGCCAGAAACCTATGATTGTGGGTTCGAATCCCGGTTCGCCCCGATTGTGTTTCTAGGTTTGTCAGCACCATACCCGTGCTCGTGGGTTTCACCGAAGTGGTAAACGTCTGAGACCTGCATCACTTCGGGCTTTCCTCCCACATTAAGCTGACACGCCGCGATATAACTGGAATACTGTTAAAAGCGGCGTTAAACCAAGCTCACTCACTCACATGCGTATTCGTTTGTACTCTGTTGTACCAGCGCTGGTGGTTTGGAGTGAATAAATTGTTCTGTACTGTTTTATAAACTGATAAGAACAATACAGTTTAAGCCGCTTTATCAGACAGACGGATTTGTTCCATAACTACGGGAAATGAATTCTATAAACCAGATAAATACTGTTAAGGTATTGTTTGTTAGACAATTGCCCTCTGTTCCTGATTGACATTCTGAACTATATTATTCTTTAGCTGGCGAACTACAGGCTGAATAGGGCGGTCGGGTAAACTAGTGGTTAAAGCGTTAGCTCGTCACGCCGAAGATCCGGGTTCGATTCCCGACATGGGTACAAGGTGTGAAGCCCATTTCTGGTGTCCCCCGTCGTGATATGCTGGAATATTGCTAAGAGCGGCGTAAAACCATACTCACTCACTCACAGGCTGAATATGTACATCATTCGCAGTTTCATGTTATGTGGCATCCGTAGCTCTGTGCTGGACGATACCTTAAAAAGATGTCTTCCCCAAGTCTCTTCTGTGGGGTTGTGAACTGTCGGATCGTCATCGCCTTGTCCTCGTAGATAGTTATGCTGGTCGGGAAATCCTGCTGGAGCCGAATTTGACCTGTGACCATCCTCTTCACGAGCTCCACTTCCAAATCCTCTGCCAGTGCATTTCGTCTTCTATCTGTATCCGTGTACGTTTGATAGTTGATGGAGGAAGATTCAGAACGAGGCACGGAGCAGGTGATGGGGACCCTCCACCTCTCACCTCGGACAATGTTGACTGACTCGGTGGCAAAGACTCTGTCCACGATAACGTTGGTGTAGACATGGTCCCCTGATTCCAACTGAACACGATACATTAAGGGGAGATAACTTACATGAGGCATTACAAAATTCTTTGCAACATCATACTTTCAGTGAATTTAAGTTTGTAAGTATAAAATGTGCAATTCTACAATGTAAAAGTGAGTGAGTGAGTGAGTGAGTTGGGTTTAACGCCGCTTTTAACAGTATTCCAGTTATATCACGGCGTGTCAGCTTAATGTGGGAGGAAAGCCCAAAGTGATGCAGGTCTCAGACGTTTACCACCTCGGTGAATCCCACGAGCACGGGTATGGTGCTGACAAACCTAGAAACATAATCGGGGCGAACCGGGTTTCGAACCCACAATCATAGGTTTCTGGCGTGCCCAAGGGACGCAACTCTGCACAGCGAATCGCGGCGCCTTAGACCACGGAACACTTAAACTCACGAAATGTGAGTGACGGACACGCCTGGACGTTTAGGTCACGCCTGGATGTGTGACGGTCACGCCATGGGTACGGATATGCTGACAAACCACCAATCAGAATCAGGGCATTTCTGTCACGCACAAGGGAGGCAAGTCGGAATAGACGGCTCGGGAACCTGAACAGCCACGTTGTTGTTGACAGTAAATGATCCTAGCACCGAAGCTAGCATTAAACATTAAACACGCCTGATCAACAAGAACTGAATTATTCTAATCTCGAAAGATGAATGTTTCTTCCTTAGAGGGGCGGTCGGGTAGCCTAGTGGTTAAAGCGTTCGCTCGTCACGCCGAAGACCCGGGTTCGATTCCCGACATGGGTACAATGTGTGAAGCCCATTTCTGGTGTCCCCCGCCGTGATATTGCTGGAATATTGCTAAAAGCGGCGTAAAACCACACTCACTCACTCACTCTTCCTTAGAATGACCGCGTTGAATGGCTGGGACAATTACCTTGACGATAGTTCCACAGGAGTTGGCTTCAGATGTGATGACGATGTTGTCGTTGATGATGGTGCCAGTGCATGTGGGATCGGAAAGGGCGATGGTTTTCTCTGAAGAGGCTGGGTAGAGTTGTTTCAGGGCGTGGCGATCAATTTGGATGTTAAACGATCCAGCGTTGCATGACATGTTAATAAAGTCCAGTATCGATGTCACTGAAGACGATGCAGTTCATTGTAGATGTCATCACATAAAAAACTATATTCAAAATTTAAAAAATACATGAAAAAGCAATGATATCTGCTATAATACGACACTTGAACATGTGCTAACAATGCACTTTACATATATACCATCTTGATAATTACAGTAAAGTACGGTTATAACGAACTCAAAGGGACTACTAATTTTAGTTCGTTATAACCGTAGTTCGTTATAAGCATATATACAGTATAACAACAGCAAATAGTCGGGACCCAAAAGTAAGTTCGTTATATCCGTCAGTTCGTTATAAGCGTGTTCGTTATAACCCGTAGTTTACTGTATGTTCATCACAGACATTCATGAGTGTATTTTTCTGAACCAGATCTGACCTTTGACATTTCTCTTCGTCTCCTCCACTTCTGATTCACGTCGCGTGTTTACATCCGGGTAAGGATTATAATGGATGGAGAAGGATTCAGAACGAGGCACGGAGCAGGCGATTGGTATCTTCCACCTCTCACCTCGGACAATATTGTTGGACTCGGTTGCAAATATTCTGTCCACGAGGAAGTTGGTGTAGACGTGTCTGTCTTCCTCTAACTGACAAACAACATAGAGAGGAAGATTGTGTACACATGTCTGTCGTCCTCTAACTGACAAACAACATAGAGAGGAATATGGTGTACACATGTCTGTCTTCCTCTAACTGACAAACAAACAACAGAGAGAGGAATATTGTGTACACATGTCTGTCTTCCTCTAACTGACAAACAACATAGAGAGGAAGATGGTGTACATGTGTCTGTCTTCCTCTAACTGACAAACAACATAGAGAGGAAGATGGTGTAGACGTGTCTGTCTTCCTCTAACTGACAAACAACATAGAGAGGAAGATGGTGTACATGTGTCTGTCTTCCTCTCACTGACAAACAACATAGAGAGGAAGATGGTGTACATGTGTCTGTCTTCCTCTAACTGACAAGCGACATAGAGAGGAAGATTGTGTACACATGTCTGTCTTCCTCTAACTGACAAACAACATAGAGAGGAAGATGGGCAGGAAAGTGAGTGAGGGAATGGGGTTTTATTTACTCGCCTCCAATCGGGCCCGTGAAGATCCGGGGTAGAATAGGTCTTTAGCAACCCATGCTAGCCGTAAAAGGCGACTATCCTTGTCGTAAGGGGCGACTAACAGGATCGAGTGGTCAGGCTCGCTGACTTGGTTGATGCATGTCATCGATCCCAATCGCGTGGATCGATGCTCATGTTGTCAATCCCTGGATTGTCTGGTCCAAACTCGATTATTTACCGACCGCCGTCATATAGCTGGAATGTTGCTGAGTGCGGCGTTAAACAATAAACAACCAACCAACCAATTTGTCCTCGACCAGCATTTGCAGTAAAACATTTCTTGATCCGTGCCCGTGACTATCACATGGCCCAACAGCCTGTCGGCAACCGTTTACGTATACAACAGTGCAGATTGTTTCTGTTTGCTTATGTCATCAAGTCAAATATTTACCTTATTTATAAATCACGTTTATTTCGCAAAGCAGACCAACTGGCCCACAGTACGGTTGTAAGATAAATTATATTTAGGTCACATATCCAGAGTGTTACATCTTTGTCGATCACATTTTAAATAATTTACATTAATTTGTTTCTTTTTGTAGCTGAAATTCTCGGTATCATGATTCGTAATAATGAAGATATAAAAGGGAATTTGTTAAAGTTTCTCATTTTACCCTGCCAACCCTCCATGGAGATATATGTTGAAGTTTCTCTTTTTACCCCGTCAACACTCAATAGGGATACATGTTAAAGTTTCTCTTTTTACCCCGTCAACACTCAATAGGGATACATGTTAAAGTTTCTCTTTTACCCCGTCAACACCCAAAAGAGATACATGTTAAAGTTTCTCTTTTTACCCCGTCAACACTCAATAGGGATACATGTTAAAGTTTCTCTTTTTACCCCGCCAACACTCAATAGAGATACATGTAAAAGTTCTCTTTTTACCCCGTCAACACTCAATAGAGATACATCATACTTCTACACGATATTGAACACACATTGGGCCAATATGCTGACGACACCCAACTTTTTTTAGATGGCTCGGAAAAATCATTAAAATCAGCCATGGATACACTTGAAACTTTTTACAAAATCTCAGGATTAAAAATGAACTTTGAAAAAACCAAAGCAATATGGATAGGCAGTATGGCTGGTAGTAAAGTCCGATTTTGTCCTAACTTAAAGCTAGATTGGCATGATGGCAACTTTGAAGTTTTGGGCATATGTTTTAATGTTGACTTAAAAGACCTTTGGGTAATCAACACTAAAAAACGCCTTGATAATATCTATGGTATTATAAGCAAATGGAAAAAACGTAATTTGACTTTGATGGGTAAAATAACAGTTGTTTAGACTTTAATTCTCTCTACCCTTGTACATATTTTTTCCGCTCTCCCAAATCCATCAAAAGCTTTTATTGATCAATTGAATAGAATTCTTTTTAACTTTATTTGGAGTGGCAAAAGAGATAAGATTAAGAGGGATTATTTGAAAAGGAATTACAGTCAAGGTGGATTGAAAATGACTGATATACCCAAATTTATATCAACTTCAAAAATTTCATGTTTAAAAAGATATTGTGAAAAAAACATTAATTATGACCTTGCTAGTTTTCAGCTGGCTCATATCTACACTTTAGGTGCCAGTTTGCACAAGAATTGGGAAATTGTAAATACTTTCTGGAAAGATACCCTTATAGCCTGGAGTGACTTTATGCATTCATATGACTTTGAAGACTTAGAAAAAGCAGAAATTGCTTCCCAACCCATATGGTTAAACCATTATTTTAGAGAACCAGTATTAATTTTTAATGACTGGTTTAAAAAAGGTATAGTTACGATAAAAGACTTGTATGATGAAAACGGATGGATCCCTTTCCCACGTTTACAACAACTTTATGATCTTAAAGGAACTTTTCTCGACTATAACCGTATGTTTTTTAATATTCCAAGAAGTTGGAGACAAAATATTGATAAAAATCTACATTCCTCTTCTAATCTCACAGTATCTCCTAGGATCTTTCACGTTCTATTAAAGGAACAAAAGTGTTTTATAATAAACTCATAGGGAATTCCCTCCCTCTCCCTAAATCTTGTTTGAAATGGGAAAAATCAGCTGGGATGTTCTTTTCCATGGAATCAAATATTCAGTGTATATTGCCATGGGTTAAGGGACACAAAACTCAGGGATTTCCAGTTTAGATTTATTCATAAAGTAATATTTACTAAACGTGAGTTATTAAGAATGAAACTTATTGATAACGATGAGTGTTCTATGTGTCATACTCACAAAAAAATTTACATTAATATAAAGCTATCAAGCGCAGTACATTTATATTTCAGGAGTTAAATATATTTCCAAAGTAACTCTACCTTCATTCTATTCTATAATGAGGTAGGAAACTACTTCTCAGGTGACTATTATTCCTACATGCAAAACAGACATGGTATTCATCCTGTGAAGGTGAAGGTCACGCTCTTTACATACAGATTCTGAATGAGGAATGTTTAACAATGTCAACTCGAAAATTGTGAAGAGATATTCGAAATTTACAAATATACACACTAATCGTTTGTGTTTATGTTATTCACAGAATAATCAGTCTTCAAATATATCCATCGTGTTATACGAAATATTGTGTGGAAGAATTTGGCGTTATACATTTTACTGTTAATTCATGTCCATCTCTCCTACCCTCTTCTGACTACGGGTGCCGCCTCCGTGGTCTTGTGGTAGAGCGTCCGCCCGGAGAGCGGAAGGCCCGGGGTTCGATCCCCGGCCGCGTCATACCAAAAGATGTTAAAAGATGGTACTTGTTGTTACCCTGTCTGGCGCTCGACATTAAGGGGCTAAAACAAGGACTGGTCGGCTCGGAGTCAGTATACTGTGTCTGAGTGGGGTATTCATGTTAAACTGCGGCATGGTATCTCAGTGAACTAGCACTATAAATCGGCATCAGTCCGGACTAGAACAAGCAGCCACACACATACACGTGCATGCACGTCGCTATATAAGTGCAATAATCTTGGACGCGACGTTAAACCCAATTTCACCTCACCTCTGACTACGGCATTATGTGTGCAGCGGAATAAGAGGTCGCGAGCGTAATTCTATGCTGCAGCCAAACAGTGTCACTGCTAAGCCACGGCGTGCAGCAGACAGGAGTATCCGGACCAGGCAAAGCGAGGGGTCAATATGCTAACAACATCACAACACACTGGGGACCACAGACTGTCCGGTGACACATTGTACCAAAATGTTCACGTCCGTCAGGTCAAACAGCACACAGGGATATGGGAACCTAATATAATGTGTAATACACACGGGGTTTTGGATTTAATTATGACTTGAGAATTAAGTGTGAATCACTTTATCATTAACAAGGGACACATTTTACATTTACAAATTAAAAAGTTCTTATGCATTTATAAATGAAAATACAAGGGATTATCTTTACCAGAAGGAGAACCTATTTATTTAGTTTCTATGATTCTATCCACCCTCGTCTGACGATGTTTTAATAGTTTTATCAAACCAGTATTTACTTTGATAATGGTTCCACATGAGGCGGCGTTGGTGTTGATGACGAGGATGTCGTTGTTGATGGTGCCGGTACAGGAGGGATCAGCCAGAGCTATGGTGGTCTCTGAGGCAGCTGGGTAGAGTCGCTTCAGGAAGGGGAGGTCTATCTGGATGTTTAAGGTTCCCGCGTCACACGACATGTTGACGACATCCTGCACCAACGCCGCTGTAGGTGGACAGTGTAAACTGACTGGACATGGCTGCTTGTACAAGTATGTGTAGTGTTATCAGGTAGTGTATACTGACATGGCCGCTTGTACAAGTATGTGTAGTGTTATCAGGTAGTGTATACTGACATGGCTGCTTGTACAAGTATGTGTAGTGTTATCAGTGTATACTGGACATGGCCGCTTGTACAAGTATGTGTAGTGTTATCAGTGTATACTGGACATGGCCGCTTGTACAAGTATGTGTAGTGTTATCAGGTAGTGTATACTGGACATGGCCGCTTGTACAAGTATGTGTAGTGTTATCAGTGTATACTGGACATGGCCGCTGTACAAGTATGTGTAGTGTTATCAGGTAGTGTATACTGACATGGCCGCTTGTACAAGTATGTGTAGTGTTATCAGGTAGTGTATACTGACATGGCTGCTTGTACAAGTATGTGTAGTGTTATCAGTGTATACTGGACATGGCCGCTGTACAAGTATGTGTAGTGTTATCAGGTAGTGTATACTGACATGGCCGCTTGTACAAGTATGTGTAGTGTTATCAGGTAGTGTATACTGACATGGCTGCTTGTACAAGTATGTGTAGTGTTATCAGTGTATACTGGACATGGCCGCTTGTACAAGTATGTGTAGTGTTATCAGTGTATACTGGACATGGCCGCTTGTACAAGTATGTGTAGTGTTATCAGGTAGTGTATACTGGACATGGCCGCTTGTACAAGTATGTGTAGTGTTATCAGTGTATACTGGACATGGCCGCTGTACAAGTATGTGTAGTGTTATCAGGTAGTGTATACTGGACATGGCCGCTGTACAAGTATGTGTAGTGTTATCAGGTAGTGTATACTGGACATGGCCGCTGTACAAGTATGTGTAGTGTTATCAGGTAGTGTATACTGGACACGGCCGCTTGTACAAGTATGTGTAGTGTTATCAGGTAGTGTATACTGGACATGGCCGCTTGTACAAGTATGTGTAGTGTTATCAGGTAGTGTATACTGACATGGCTGCTTGTACAAGTATGTGTAGTGTTATCAGGTAGTGTATACTGGACATGGCCGCTTGTACAAGTATGTGTAGTGTTATCAGTGTATACTGGACATGGCCGCTTGTACAAGTATGTGTAGTGTTATCAGGTAGTGTATACTGGACATGGCCGCTTGTACAAGTATGTGTAGTGTTATCAGGTAGTGTATACTGACATGGCCGCTTGTACAAGTATGTGTAGTGTTATCAGTGTATACTGGACATGGCTGCTTGTACAAGTATGTGTAGTGTTATCAGGTAGTGTATACTGACATGGCCGCTTGTACAAGTATGTGTAGTGTTATCAGTGTATACTGGACATGGCTGCTTGTACAAGTATGTGTAGTGTTATCAGGTAGTGTATACTGGACAGGGCCGCTTGTACAAGTATGTGTAGTGTTATCAGGTAGTGTATACTGACATGGCCGCTTGTACAAGTATGTGTAGTGTTATCAGGTAGTGTATACTGACATGGCCGCTTGTACAAGTATGTGTAGTGTTATCAGTGTATACTGGACATGGCTGCTTGTACAAGTATGTGTAGTGTTATCAGGTAGTGTATACTGACATGGCCGCTTGTACAAGTATGTGTAGTGTTATCAGTGTATACTGGACATGGCTGCTTGTACAAGTATGTGTAGTGTTATCAGGTAGTGTATACTGGACAGGGCCGCTTGTACAAGTATGTGTAGTGTTATCAGGTAGTGTATACTGACATGGCCGCTTGTACAAGTATGTGTAGTGTTATCAGTGTATACTGGACATGGCTGCTTGTACAAGTATGTGTAGTGTTATCAGTGTATACTGGACATGGCCGCTTGTACAAGTATGTGTAGTGTTATCAGGTAGTGTATACTGGACATGGCCGCTTGTACAAGTATGTGTAGTGTTATCAGTGTATACTGGACATGGCCGCTTGTACAAGTATGTGTAGTGTTATCAGGTAGTGTATACTGGACATGGCCGCTTGTACAAGTATGTGTAGTGTTATCAGTGTATACTGGACATGGCCGCTGTACAAGTATGTGTAGTGTTATCAGGTAGTGTATACTGGACACGGCCGCTTGTACAAGTATGTGTAGTGTTATCAGGTAGTGTATACTGGACATGGCCGCTTGTACAAGTATGTGTAGTGTTATCAGGTAGTGTATACTGACATGGCTGCTTGTACAAGTATGTGTAGTGTTATCAGGTAGTGTATACTGGACATGGCCGCTTGTACAAGTATGTGTAGTGTTATCAGTGTATACTGGACATGGCCGCTTGTACAAGTATGTGTAGTGTTATCAGGTAGTGTATACTGGACATGGCCGCTTGTACAAGTATGTGTAGTGTTATCAGGTAGTGTATACTGACATGGCCGCTTGTACAAGTATGTGTAGTGTTATCAGTGTATACTGGACATGGCCGCTTGTACAAGTATGTGTAGTGTTATCAGGTAGTGTATACTGGACATGGCCGCTTGTACAAGTATGTGTAGTGTTATCAGTGTATACTGGACATGGCCGCTGTACAAGTATGTGTAGTGTTATCAGGTAGTGTATACTGGACATGGCCGCTGTACAAGTATGTGTAGTGTTATCAGGTAGTGTATACTGGACACGGCCGCTTGTACAAGTATGTGTAGTGTTATCAGGTAGTGTATACTGGACATGGCCGCTTGTACAAGTATGTGTAGTGTTATCAGGTAGTGTATACTGACATGGCTGCTTGTACAAGTATGTGTAGTGTTATCAGGTAGTGTATACTGGACATGGCCGCTTGTACAAGTATGTGTAGTGTTATCAGTGTATACTGGACATGGCCGCTTGTACAAGTATGTGTAGTGTTATCAGGTAGTGTATACTGGACATGGCCGCTTGTACAAGTATGTGTAGTGTTATCAGGTAGTGTATACTGACATGGCCGCTTGTACAAGTATGTGTAGTGTTATCAGGTAGTGTATACTGACATGGCCGCTGTACAAGTATGTGTAGTGTTATCAGGTAGTGTATACTGGACATGGCCGCTTGTACAAGTATGTGTAGTGTTATCAGGTAGTGTACACTGACATGGCCGCTTGTACAAGTATGTGTAGTGTTATCAGGTAGTGTATACTGACAAGGCCGCAAGCAAGCTTCCTGTTTCATGTTTCATGTAAAATTTGGATATTTCTCCCAATTATATTCTTCTTTTCTTTCGATAGGTTAAGATACAATCAATACACTTTACACTTCAGCTTAAATAAAATCTTTTTCAATGTGTTCAAGGCCAAATGTTATAATGACTGGATTAACACTTTGTTTGGCCGAATACTGCAACGCCGATTTATAGGATGATTGGAAAGTTGTGCATTAACACATAAGGGTGTCCATGGTATGAATGAGTGAGTGAGTGAATATGGTTTTACGCGGCTTTTAGCAATATTACAGCAATATCACGGCGCGGGACACCAGAAATGGGCTTCGCACAATGTACCCTAGGCCTTCTCGGGAATCGAACCCGGATCGTCGGCGTGACAAGAGAACGCTTTAACCACTAGGCTATCCGACTGCTCCTTCCGTGTTATGAAACATGTTGTACTCACGGCTCCAGCTCGCTTGAAAACCGCCATTGCTGTTGGAGCCGTCAGTGTCGAAGCTGACGGCAAAGGCCTTGCCGAGGAGGATGGGGGGTTTGTTGCTGCTGCCGCTGTACGCGGGGCCACCGACAGGGATGCTTGACGTGGAGTTAAGTGTGGAGACCTTGATAACAGATATACATTTTGTCGAAACTTTTAGTTAAAAAATATTATTCATAAGACGATTCCATGTATAGATTGACTTTCATTGAGAACGACATTGTTTAAAAAATTTAAGACGTTACAAGAATACTGGTATTTACTGAAACCTTATTTAAATAATAAGATTGTATCTGGTTCGCTACATTGAGGACCACTTCCGTGGTCAAGTGTCAGAGCGTCCGCCCGGACAGCGGAAGGGCGGGGGGTTGATCCCCGACCGCGTCATACGAAAAGACGTTAAAAGACGGTACTTGTTGTTACCCTGTCTGGTCGGCTCGGAGTGGGGTATTCATGTTAAACTGCGGCATGGTGTCTCCGTGGGTTAGAACTATAAAACTGTCATTAGTCCGGACTAGTACAAGCAGCTACCCACACACACGTGCATGCACGTCGCTATATAAGTGCAATAATATCGAACGCGACGTTAAACCCCACGTAGCATATGCCTATTCTACCAACAAGAAAGTAACCCTGGCTCGTTCAATGTTTTAAGGGCACAACCAATAACTGACACGTGATATTGACACATAAGTAACTACCTGTGTATCTGTACCATATCACCATACACACTTGTCATGAAGTCAGTGTGGTACCTACATGTACAGGGTCCACGCAGGACTTGATATTGTACTCTGTGTGCTACCTACATGTAAAATGTCACAGCAGGAGTTTGTCTGGAGGTCAGTGTGGTACCTACCTGTACAATGTCATAGCAGGACTCTGTCTGGAGGTCAGTGTGGTACCTACCTGTACAATGTCACAGCAGGACTTTGTCTGGAGGTCAGTATGGTACCTACATGTACAATGTCACAGTAGGACTCTGTGTGGAGGTCAGTGTGGTACCTACATGTACAATGTCACAGTAGGACTTTGTCTGGAGGTCAGTGTGGTATCTACATGCACAATGTCACAGCAGGACTCTGTCTCGAGGTCAGTGTGGTACCTACATGTACAATGTCACAGCAGGACTCTGTCTGGAGGTCAGTGTGGTACCTACCTGTACAATGTCACAGCAGGACTCTGTCTGGAGGTCATTGTGGTACGTACATGCACATCGTCACAGCAGGACACTATCTGGAGGTCAGTGTGGTACCTACATGTACAATGTCACAGTAGGACTCTGTCTGGAGGTCAGTGTGGTACCTACATGTACAATGTCACAGTAGGACTCTGTCTGGAGGTCAGTGTGGTTCCTACATGTACAATGTCATAGCAGGAGTTTGTCTGGATGTCAGTGTGGTACCTACCTGTACAATGTCACAGCAGGACTCTGTCTGGAGGTCAGTGTGGTATCTACATGTACAATGTCATAGCAGGACTCTGTCTGGAGGTCATGGTGGTACCTACATGCACATCGTCACAGCAGGACACTATCTGGAGGTCAGTGTGGTACCTACCTGTACAATGTCACAGCAGGAGTTTGTCTGGAAGTTAGTGTGGTACCTACATGTACAATGTCACAGCAGGACTTCACGCTGTACCCTGTGCGCTACCTACCTGTACAATGTCACAGCAGGACACTATCTGGAGGTCAGTGTGGTACCTACATGCACAATGTCACAGTAGGACTTTGTCTGGAGGTCAGTGTGGTATCTACATGCACAATGTCATAGCAGGACTTCGTCTGGAGGTCAGTGTGGTACCTACATGCACAATGTCACAGCATGACTCTGTCCGGAGGTCAGTGTGGTACCTACATGTACAATGACACAGCAGGACTTCGTCTGGAGGTCAGTGTGGTACGTACATGAACATCGTCACAGCAGGACTGTGTCTGGAGGTCAGTGTGGTACCTACCTGTACAATGTCACAGCAGGACTCTGTCTGGAGGTCAGTGTGGTACCTACATGCACAATGTCACAGAAGGACTTCGTCTGGAGGTCGGTGTGGTACCTACATGCACAATGTCACAGCAGGACTTTTTCTGGAGGTCAGTGTGGTATCTACATGTACAATGTCATAGCAGGAGTTTGTCTGGAGGTCAGTGTGGTACCTACCTGTACAATGTCACAGCAGGACTCTGTCTGGAGGTCAGTGTGGTACCTACATGCACAATGTCACAGCAGGACTTCGTCTGGAGGTCGGTGTGGTACCTACATGCACAATGTCACAGCAGGACTTTTTCTGGAGGTCAGTGTTGTATCTACATGTACAATGTCATAGCAGGAGTTTGTCTGGAGGTCAGTGTGGTACCTACCTGTACAATGTCACAACATGACTTTTTCTGGAGGTCAGTGTGGTACCTACATGTACAATGTTACAGCAGGACTTTGTCTGGGGGTCAGTGTGGTACGTACATGCACATCGTCACAGCAGGACTTTTTCTGGAGGTCAGTGTGGTATCTACATGTACAATGTCATAGCAGGAGTTTGTCTGGAGGTCAGTGTGGTACCTACCTGTACAGTGTCACAACAGGACTCTGTCTGGAGGTCAGTGTGGTACCTACATGTACAATGTCACAGCAGGACTCTGTCTGTAGGTCATTGTGGTACCTACATGCACATCGTCACAGCAGGACTTTGTCTGGAGGTCAGTGTGGTACCTACATGCACAATGTCGCAGCAGGACTTCGTCTGGAGGTCGGTGTGGTACCTACATGCACAATGTCACAGCAGGACTTCACGCTGTACCCTGTGTGCTACCTACCTGTACAAGGTCACAGCAGGACTCCGTCTTGAAGTCAGTAAACTCCAACTTGTACAGTTGCCCCGTGTTGGTGGGGCGGATGATGTAGAGGCAGTGCACGTTGCGGGGGTAGGGCTGGGGGTAGTTGTCCGACTGAAGCGTGCCTGTCTCACTGGAGTATTGGTAACCACAATCTGGAACAGGCAAATAATTATGCAACAAAGAAACAAAGAAGTCAAAATTAATGAATATTAAGTAGGAAAATTGATACAGAGAGGAGTCTTCTACAACAACGGTACACTTGTCCCTACCACTTCTACCTACACCATAGAGTGTCTTCATCCACAACAGTACACATCCCCCTACTACTTCTACCTACACCATAGAGTGTCTTCATCCACAACAGTACACACCCCCCTACTACTTCTACCTACACCATAGAGTGGACCGCCTCCGTGGTCTAGAGGTAGAGCGTCCGCCCGGAGAGCGGAAGGTCCGGGGTTCGATTCCCGGCCGCGTCATACCAAAAGACGTTAAAAGATGGTACTTGTTGTTACCCTGTCTGGCGCTTGGCATTAAACAAGGACTGGTCGGCTTGGAGTCAGCATACTGTGTCTGAGTGGGGTATTCATATTAAACTGCGGCATGGTATATCAGTGGGCTAGCACTATAAATCGGCATCAGTGCGGACTAGTACAAGCAGCCACACAAACACACACACGTACATGCACGTCGCTATATAAGTGCAATAATCTTGGACGCGACGTTAAACCCCATTCCACCACCACCACCATAGAGTGTCTTCATCCACAACGGTACACATCTCCCTACTACTTCTACCAACACCATAGCATCACAGTTCGACCAACATGGACCGACCACTTCCTTGGTGAGGGGCGTGGTGGTAGAATAATATTCACAATCAGCACCTCAAAACAATTTGGAGTTTTCTTCTGAAAGGAGTAACGAAATGATTTCTTTTGAATTTAAATATTTATTTTGTAAGACCTGAGTGACAATTGATCACGGTCCGACAAACTATTCCATTTGTCCATTATATTCCTAAATATGTAAGTTCTGACTATTTGCCACCTCAAAGCAGGACAACGTTATTCAACGGAACGAAGACTTTCCTCTGGTAAAAACATATACTGAGAATAAAATTCCTTAAAATACCACACTTGCTTACAAAATACACGAACGTTTAACAAACATTTTGAGATATTTCTTTTTACTTTTGCATAATTGTTTACTGATTGATAAAGAAGGAAAGTTTCTTCAGGTTATGGTGTACCGCAAACAATGCAGTCTCACTGCACGCTGTGTGCTAGCACACCTCGGCAGAAGTACGCTGCACTTCCGGGTGCAGGTGAGTTGCAGGTCGTACGAAATAAGTGTCATGTGCATACATAAGCCACGCCCACTCATGAATATTGTAGACTTAAGACCATTGTAGGTTTAAAGGGCACAACATCCGTATCATGGCATCATATGTTACACATGGTTTAACAATGCAGTGTGGTGTCCAAATACCAGCAGACAGCATCACATTATGGTCAGTGCTCACTCTAGGACTCGGCTGTAAGTACGTGACGGTGTGTGAGTGTGACATGCCACGCCAGAAAGGCTTATGTGGAGGAGTAGAAGTCCATACATCAACATAGGGAACGGATAACAGTGACAATAGTTTTAGTAATTACCGATGTCGGTGTGATTATTTGTAGTCATTGTCCAAGGGAATCATTACTTAGGTTTATGTTGATAGGTTTGTAGATGACCCTGTTTGTACCTGTTCTTTGCATTGATTATTTGTGAAGCAGTCGAAGCAAGGCGACGTCAGACATTGTAACAAACAATTGAAAATCGAGTCTGGACCAGACAACCCAGTGATAATATCATGAGCATCGAGTCACGCAATTGAGATACGATGACATGCATCAACCGGTTGCGACTAGCAGAGTCGCCTTTTAGGGCAAGCAAAGGTTGCTGGAGATTCTACCCCGAATCTTCACGGGCCTGCTTCATTAGGGACAGATAATCTGTCATTCCTCGCTGCACGTAAGTTGCTCTCTGTAACTATTGTTCTTACTGTAACACTCGACGCCCGCCTGCACACAGGATGTCTGTGAGGGGATGGTCAGTTTGGCCGGACACATGGAGATGTCCGTTTCGTCCCCTACACATTCGGATAACGTGATGATGGGCGGGTTGTTACTGCGGCCGTACTTCCCGTCGAGATGTGCTAAGCCCCCTGAGGACCTGGTGCAGACAAACACAGGAGTGGGGGAAAGGCGTCACTGGCTGTCTGGCCTAGGTTCGGTTATTAGGTTTGGTTTGTTTGTTGTCTAACGCCGCACTCAGCAACACTCCGGCTAAATGACGGCGGTCTGCTAAGTATCGAGTCTGGATCGGACAACCCAGTGATTGATGTCATGAGCATCGATCAACGCAACTGGGACACGATGACATGCATCAACCAAGCCAGCGAGCCTGACCACCCGATCCCATTAGTCGCCTCTTACGACAAGAATATTCGCCTTTCACGGCAAGCATGGGTTGCTGAAGACCTATTCTACCCCTGATCTTCATGGGTGGTTCGGTTATTAGGTGGCTGTGATACCGATACAGATGTCTGACCGCGTTGTAAAACACAAACAGTATCGAATATTTTTTCATGAAACATACAGCATATACTGTGATGAGTCTTTAACAGGATCGCCGGGAAAAAAGTATAATATTATCAAGAAGTATATAATCATTGGGAATTAAAAACTAGAAAGACCAAGCCACCAAACTAGACTCTCTTAATATACGATAGGTTTGTAATTGTGGTGTACCTAACTCCGAGTTCCCTGCAGATGACCTGAGCGTCCTTGTCGTCCCACCCCGCCGTACAGACAGGCTGCCACATGTCTTGTTCATAGATCTCAACAAGACCCTCCCATGGCCCGAAGCCATTGGTTAACCGGACATTGGGCAGTGCTGAAACAAAACCACATCACGTGGACATATTCAACACTTCAACCGCGCCGTCATGCATCTTGACATTGGACTGTGCTGAAACTACAAGGAAAAACCCGCATTACATGTGCAGCACCATGACCTATCCTATCAGTCATCGCCAGTGAAAGGGCGGTTGAGTAGCCTACTGGTTCAAGCGTTCGCTCGTCACGCAGAAGACCCGGGTTCGATTCCCCACATTGGTACAAAGTGTGAAACCCATTTTTGATGTGCCCCGCCGTGATATTGCTGGAATATTGAAAGCGACGATAACCCCTGGCCCTGCTAACTCACCCGACACCTCACAGTTGACGCCCCGCACGCCCCCGGCAGGACATGACGATAACCCCTGGATCTGCCAACTCACCCGACACCTCACAGTTGACGCCCCGCACGCCCCCGGCAGGACATGACGGTACCCCCCCTCCTTTGAGACTCACCGGACACCTCACAGTTGACGCCCCCGACTCCCCGGCAGGACATGACGGTATCCCCCACCCGTGGAAACTCACCCGACACCTCACAGTTGACGCCCCGCACGCCCCCGGCAGGACATGACGATAACCCCTGGATCTGCCAACTCACCCGACACCTCACAGTTGACGCCCCCCACGCCCCCGGCAGGACATGACGGTAACCCCCAGCCCTGCCAACTCACCCGACACCTCACAGTTGACGCCCCGCACGCCCCCGGCAGGACATGACGGTAACCCCCAGCCCTGCCAACTCACCCGACACCTCACAGTTGACGCCCCCCACGCCCCCGGCAGGACATGACGGTAATACCCAGCCCTGGAAACTCACCCGACACCTCACAGTTGACGCCCCCCACGCCCCCGGCAGGACATGACGGTAACCCCCAGCCCTGCCAACTCACCCGACACCTCACAGTTGACGCCCCGCACGCCCCCGGCAGGACATGACGGTAACCCCCAGCCCTGCCAACTCACCCGACACCTCACAGTTGACGCCCCCCACCCCCCCGGCAGGACATGACGGTAATACCCAGCCCTGGAAACTCACCCGACACCTCACAGTTGACGCCCCGCACGCCCCCGGCAGGACATGACGGTAATACCTGGCCCTGCCAACTCACCCGACACCTCACAGTTGACGCCCCCAACGCCCCCGACAGGACATGACGGTAACCCCTGGCCCTGCCAACTCACCCGACACCTCACAGTTGACGCCAACCCACGCCCCCGGCAGGACATGACGATAACCCCTGGCCCTGCCAACTCACCCGACACCTCACAGTTGACGCCAACCCACGCCCCCGGCAGGACATGACGATAACCCCTGGCCCTGCCAACTCACCCGACACCTCACAGTTGACGCCAACCCACGCCCCCGGCAGGACATGACGATAACCCCTGGCCCTGCCAACTCACCCGACACCTCACAGTTGACGCCCCCGAGGCCCCCGGAAGGACATGACGGTATCCCCCAGCCCTGGAAGCGACACTCGGAAATGTCGGTCTCGTTGCCGATACAGTCCACGTCGTCGAGCCATAACCTCTCTGAACCATCCATCCTGATGATCCGAGCGGTGCCAGTACCATGCCTAGACAGAACAAATCAGATGACTTGTGTCAGTGCTTTCTCATCGCATTTGTTCCTTGAACGCACTCCAACTGTAGCAGAGCAAGGGCATAATACGTTACTGTAATACTCTCTGGATGATTTGTTCACGCCACGCTCGTCTATTTAGCGGTGGCCGGTACAAATACGTCATATCACGTCACGAGACAACAGTGTATTGTTTCGTTCATCCGGACGCCATTGTTGGCGTCATTCGAATCGTATTGTTACTTGAGGTCGGAATGACGTCAATCTAGAAACGACGTCATAGCTGAAGGTTGTTGACGTCATTCGACGAATTGCGACTAGCTGTCCTTATAGGTAAACACTAAAATTCCTCTCACGCTCGTAAAATACCGGGATTTAGACTCTCGTGTCGTAAACAAAGTATGACATGAATACTCAATAATGTCCTCTATTTCTTACCCACAGGTATGTGCAAATATCACTTCTCGGGCACCTGTGTATTATTTCAGTCATCCGTACGGCATTGTTGACGTCATTCGAATCTTACAGTGACGTAAAGTCGGAATGACGTCACACTAAAATTGACGTCATAGCTGAAGATTTTTGACATCGCAAGGTTGTGGTTTTCTAGGACAGCGGTTGTGATCAGTGCATTTTTCTAAAGGGGGCTCAAAGGAATTCAGAAATAATGGATAATAAAGTAATTACTAAACTCGTGTAAGAATCCATGTATTACCCTCGATCGAGGAATACAGAAATTCTGACACCCGTTTCGGAAAATCAGAATGACACACTCGTATAATGATCTCTATGTAGAAGTCGGATAATGCATCATCATGTCGCGGACTTACAAAAAATTTCAACTTTCTTTATAAGTGTCAATTGTTTACAAGTTTCTCAGTTCACATGAGCAATTCCAAAACGGGTGTTGTGTCACGGACATTCAACTGTAGGAGGATGACGGTTGAAGTCACCTGCTCACCAATATCCCTTCATCCTACAGATGACCTCAGCGTCTTTAGAATTCCATCCATTGGCGCAGATGTACCCCCATTGTCCGTTCCTGAACACCTGGACTCTGGGGTCACCTCTGGTCAGCAGGAGAGGCGTGGACTCAGCTGTGGGTGGAGTGAGTGTCAGTGGGGAGGGAGGAAACAAGAAGCAAAAAATGCACAGTCTACAATACTAATCAGATGAAAAAACTGACAGGAAAAACAAATTGTTTCGCAATTACAAAGTTTCGCATGTATGTGTTACACCCAATCTGTGCAACTGCCTATTGTGTGTGTGTGTGTGTGTGTGTGTGTGCGTCTGTGTGCGTGCGTGCGTGCGTGCGTGCGTGTGTGTGTGTGCGTCTGTGTGCGTGCGTGCGTGCGTGCGTGCGTGCGTGCGTGTGTGTGTGTGTGTGTGTGTGTGTGTGTGTGCGCGTGTGTGTGAAGGTATCTCGATTAGTATTTCAGTGAAACGGGCATTAAAATATTGTGTTAAAATATTTTGCACTTATATAGCATCACGCAAGCACTGTGTGTGTGTGTGTGTGTGTGTGTGTGTGTGTGTGTGTGTGTGTGTGTGTGTGTGTGTGTGTGTGTGTGTGTGTGTGTGTGTGTGTGTGTGTGTGTGTGTGCGTGCGTGCGTGTGTGTGAAGGTATCTCGAGTAGTATTTCAGTGAAACGGGAATTAAAATAATGTGTTAAAATATTTTGCACTTATATAGCATCACGCAAACAATGTGTGTGTGTGTGCGTGCGTGCAACATAGATATATAGTTGTGTTCATTAACGCAGTCGCGTGAACAGCAATGTTGTGGATCGCAAAGAGCTAAATATCAGTTTCTGTCTAAGACATTATTAGCATTTGCAAAATATGATTGAACATCAACTGTAAACAGCAGGCTCCCTGTGACACATTGTTTGTTTCTTCTGCTGGCTAGATCTAACATCCAGTTCACACTTGGGATTGTAATGTATCTGGTTCATGCCCGTATCAACCAAATATTTAGGCATGGCTTTTACATACAAGGATTATTAACAAAAACAGAACAAGCAATTGCAAGGACCAGTGACATAAATGATAAAAGCTTCAACTATAACGTTTATTTGAAAACGCTTTAATCCAATCCCTCGTTAAATTGATGCAGTTATTAAATTTTGTATACGTTTCCGAGAAATAAACAAAAACGTATAGCATTGCAATTCATATTCCCTGTACCTCGTAAAGTGTGGATATCACTCCATGATACAAAAGAAGCAAACGTCTTCCTAACAGAGACGCAAATACGATGACACTCACCATGAACTAGTATCGTGTAGGGTTGAAACTGAAACACAGTGGTATATACATGTATAAACGTACGTGTAAATGAGCAACGCTCAGCGTGTGTCAGTTGCATTGGTTTCAGCTGTGCATTTGAAGTCACAGTATATGCTGGGGGAAGGTATTACCCTTTGTTATACCATTTATTTGTTATACCACCTTTTTTTTATACCATCTATACGATATATATATATATATATATAGATGGTATAACAAAAACGATATATATATATACGTGTACATATTTACACAAAAATCTATTTTATTATTCATTACGCAGAACAATGATAACCCATTACAATTTATACTAACATTAACAACAGCTATACTCATCATTTCGTGGTAAAAGAGAAGGTCTCTGCTCAGTTACATTACGTACGTTAACGGACCCGTGAAGATCCGGGGTAGAATAGGTCTTCAGGAACCCATGCTTGCCATGATAGGCGACTATGCTTGTCGTAAGAGGCGACTAACAGGATCGGGTGGTCATGCTCGCTGACTTGGTTTGATGCATGCCATCGTAGCCCAATTGCGTAGATCGATGCTCATGATGTCAATAACTGGATTGTCTTGTCCAGACTCCATTATTTACAGACCGCCATCATATAGCTGGAATATTGCTGAGTGCGGCGTTAAGCAACAAACAAGCAAACAAATAATATGATTCAATGTTATTATGTCCCTATTCAGTTTTGTAAATGTGTTATGTATATATCAAGAATATGTAATAAAACGTGAATCGCATTAACACAATCAGGCTTAGAATGGGAAACGTGATGTGTGTAATGTGACCTTCAAGAAACCTTCATTCATTGTGAAAGATAACGTCTGTCCATGTGCATGGCTCCAGACAAACAAGTACCTCAGATGATAAGAACGTATAGCTTACTGGAGCACGTATGTGTTAACACTCACAGCATTCAACCTCAAATAATACCATTAATGTCTTACATCACATCACTTGTCAACTTACTCACCACCATCAGGAACCCCAGCAGCACGAGGGATACGAACTGAGTTAGAATCAACATGGCTCCAGACATGCAAAGTCTGTATGTCCTTCATTGATAAGATAAATGCTGTGGTTCAACATGACCTGTGCAAGCTAATCTTATGTAAATTTTGGTAACAGGAACATTTGTTATCTGGACGATATTTTACACTTATAGAATACAGGTCGGTAAGAAAACAATGCTGGTAAATTCTAACTGTCTTTATCGGTAACAACCTCTCGCACCTGCCTCCATTCTTCAGTGTGGCTGTGACCACTGTCTCCGTGAAGATTCATCTGGAGAATGTTTGTATGATTTGCTTGTCTGTATGTTTTATAACGCCAATATTGAATAGATGTGAAGCGGTGTGAAATAAGCGGTGTGACGCGGTGTGAAATAATCTAGTCTTGTTGTGTTGATTGAGCAGCTACACGCTACAGTTCAACACGTTGTTTTGTTGTGTTGATAGAGCAGCTACACGCTACAGGTCAACACGTTGTTTTGTTGTTTTGATGGGGCAGCTACATGCTACAGTTCAACACGTTGTTTTGTTGTTTTGATGGAGCAGCTACATGCTACAGTTCAACACGTTGTTTTGTTGTGTTGATTGAGCAGCTACATGCTACAGTTCAACACGTTGTTTTGTTGTGTTGATGGAGCAGCTACACGCTACAGTTCAACACGTTGTTTTGTTGTGTTGATGGAGCAGCTACACGCTACAGTTCAACACGTTGTTTTGTTGTGTTGATGGGGCAGCTACACGCTACAGTTCAACACGTTGTTTTGTTGTTTTGATGGAGCAGCTACGTGCTACAGTTCAACACGTTGTTTTGTTGTTTTGATGGGGCAGCTACATGCTACAGTTCAACACGTTGTTTTGTTGTTTTGATGGAGCAGCTACATGCTACAGTTCAACACGTTGTTTTGTTTTGTTGACAGAGCAGCTACATGCTACAGTTCAACACGTTGTTTTGTTGTGTTGATTGAGCAGCTACATGCTACAGTTCAACACGTTGTTTTGTTGTGTTGATTGAGCAGCTACATGCTACAGTTCAACACGTTGTTTTGTTGTGTTGATTGAGCAGCTACATGCTACAGTTCAACACGTTGTTTTGTTCTTTTGATGGAGCAGCTATTTGATACGCAAGGACAGCCATTTCTACTGTATGGTTCTGAAGTGTGGGATACCAGAACTATGACAAACTAGAAATAATCTATGCTAGCGTGTAAACAGTTTGGTAAAAAATGTGGGAATACAAACCCTACATGCAAAATCATATGGAGAAACAGGCAGTTGTATGACACAAAGAAGCATGCCAGCAACGTTACATATGATGTTGGTAACAGTTTTTGGATTTGTTTTCTGTTGATATTCATATTTTCTGTTTATCAGATTAATCTGGTTGAGTTTGTGAATGTGTGTTCGTTATTAATGACTGGATCCAACTGTTGCCGCTCCATGGAGTGAGTGAGTATGATTTTACTCCGCTTTTAGCAATATTCCAGCAATATCAAGGCGGGGGACACCATAATTGGGCTTCACACCATGTACCGATGTCGGGAATCGAACCCGGTTCTTCGGCGTGACGAGCTAACGCTTTAACCACTAGGCTACCCGACCGCCCCTCCGATCCATGGAAACCCAATACTAATACTAATAACAGTTCGAAGAAGCGGGCGAATATGATGAATAATATTGTGTTCCTTTGAGTCGATGATGGTTCACAATTTAAATGGAGTTTTATTTTGACGCAGCAATCTATATGTACAGGCATGTGTGGCTGATTGTACTAGTCCGGACTAATGCCGATTCTATTGTGCGTACCCAGTGAGATACAATGCCGCAGTTTAACATGAATACTCCACTCAGACACAGTATACTGACTCCGAGCCGACCAGTCCTTGTTTTAGCCCCTTAATGCCAACCCAGACAGGGTAACAACAAGTACCATCTTTTAACGTCTTTTGGTATGACGCGGCCGAGGATCGAATCCGGACCTTCCGCTGTCCCGCTGGACGCTCTGCCACCACAAGACCACGGGGGCGGTTCGATTCAATATATGACAAAGATACCTACTCAAAAGTGGAAGGGCAATTATAGAGTGTTGACTGCAGTGTCCATAACATGAGGTTTTATTTAAAACACACGCCCTTTTCCAACAGAGTACGACAAACACGCCATGAAATATTCATGATCTTTTTCTTAAAATTATTCTCTTAAAACACATTTCCATTTATAGTGGTTCGTTCAGTTCACTGGGAAAAACTTAACGAGGATATTTAACTGCCAGAAAAAGGCAAGCGGTAGATAAAGACGTTAAAAGTGCAATTTACATGAATATTTCACACACATTCATAACAATGTATCGAAGCGTAATGGTGTAGACGCCTACGTTACAAGAACGTTATCTTGGATTAGTACCTCACAATACTGACTTCAAATCACCTGTACTATACTTATTAACTTTCCTTCACGAAACAATAACGTGGCTCAAACTATCTAGATAAATGTTTTCCATTTAAAAACAGTCCTTTGATAAATGCCAATATCTGCGTGAGAACGTCGGTGTGGCGCAATGAGTAGGCGGCATCAGGTCTTGTCCTGTTCGGGGAGACACGTGAACATCCGGGGTAGAATTGGTCTTCAGCAACCCATGTTTGCCGTAAAAGGCTACTAACGGGATCGGGTGGTCAGGCTCGCTGACTTGGTTGACGCATGCCATCGTATCCAAATTAAGATGGGCGGTCGGGTAGCCTAGTGGTTAAAGCGTTCGCTCGTCACGCCGAAGACCCGGGTTCGATTCCCGACATGGGTACAATGTGTGAAGCCCATTTCTGGTGTCCGCCGCCGTGATATTGTTTGAATATTGCTAAAAGCGGCGTAAAACTGTACTCACTCACTCACTCCAAATTAAGTGGATCGATGCTCATGATGTCAATCACTGGATTGTCTGGTCCAGACTTGATTATTTACAGACCATAGTTGTATAATGCTATAGTGCGACGTTAAAAAACAAACAAACAAAATCATGTTCGAAGACAGTGCCACAGATGTTTACAAAGAGCATGAGTACGGTGCTGACATACCAAGGATCACAAAAGGGCGAATCTTGGATTAGAACCCATGACCACCAGATCCTTTCCGATCAGGGGACGCAACTCGTGGAAGCAAAAGGCTGCAATCAATATGAATGCCACTGACCAAAACAAAGTATACGGGCATATGACCTCAAACCTTATTTCGCCTGTCGAACCTTTCATTCCATATAAAAAACATGTAACATAGTTACTTTTTTACGATACTTTGCAGTCTAAAATGAGTCGGTGTTCATTATTCCTTGATTACCCTGATAGAGTATCCGGGGACTATATTATTCCGTGTTAGTCGTAAGTAGCAACTGTTGAGGATCTGGTTGTAGGGCTGGGTGACATGGCTCGGTGTGTGTCACCGTGACCTGGTGGCTTTGATCACTGCTCATGCTTTCAGTCACTGGTTTATCTGGTTCAGACTGTGTACAAACTACATGACACATGTACAGATGGAACAGAACGTGATAAACGTAAAGCTACATTCAACCACACGCTCATCAGTAACCGGTGGATGGGCTGTGTAGTTGTGTGAATTTGACTGTAAAATGAATACAAAGATGATTGAATGTAATGTGCATATGCACGCACGCACGCACGCACCCACGCACGCACGCACAAACACACGTGGATTTTATGCACGCGTAAGTACATTTCAGGTAAATGTTCTAAAATGCACGATAAATAATATAATGAAAAGTAACGCTAATCGTTTCCTCAAACATACGTGCAACATACACATACAACATAACACTATTAGAAGAGGTGAGGTGAAATTGGGTTTAACGTCGCGTCCAAGATTGCGCTTATATAGCGACGTGCATGTACGTGTGTGTGTTTGTGTGGCTGCTTGTACTAGTCCGGACTGATGCCGATTTATAGTGCTAGCTCACTGAGATACCATGCCGCGGTTTAACAGGAATACCCCACTCAGACACAGTATACTGACTCCGAGCCGACCAGTCCTTGTTTTAGCCCCTTAATGCCGAGCGCCAGGCAGGGTAACAACAAGTACCATCTTTTAACGTCTTTTGGTATGACGCGGCCTGGGATCGAACCCCGGACCTTCCGCTCTCCGGGCGGACGCTCTACCACAAGACCACGGAGGCGGTCCACTATTAGAAGAAAAAGAAAAGCGCAACTCATTGAGCCGAATCAACTTTTCTGGTGAAAAGGGAACAACAAACACACGTCACGATCAGGTTTCATAAGGGCAGTTTATTTACACAAGACAACACACATGTATATATTAAATACAGGAAAAGACATAATGAATTATTGTATCGTTGACACCAACTCCTTGACACACGGTCAGCTCATGTGACGTCTAGTCCACGTAGACCTCCTCGGGGCTGAAACAAGACATATAACGTCAGCCTGTCGTAAGTATCGTACTTTGTCTTGCAACTCCGACAATTACCAGTACTGCGGCATCGTCATACCTTTGCTTGTTTGGTGTTTAACGCCGCACTCAGCAACATTCCTGCTATATGACGGCGGTCTGTATATATTCGCGTCTGAACCAGACAATCCAGTGATTGACATCATGAGCATCGATCTACGCAATTGGGATATCACAGCATGCATCAATCAAGTCAGCGAGTCTGACCACCCGATCCCGTTAGTCGCCTCTTACGACAAGCAAAGTCGCCTCTTACGGCAAGCATGGGTTGCTGAGGACCTTTTCTACCCCGGATCTTCACGGGCCGCCACGCCTGTGGTCTTGAGTTCATTCAAGTGACTGTCTCCATTGGCTTTTATTTCGCCTCAAAATCGACATAATATTTAACCGAAAGATTCTAAGATGGACATGGAACCTTCAACTGTTTTTGCAGAGTCAATAAATTCTTCGGCTGCTGACATATCAGCATGACAGCTGTGTTGTGGGGTTTCACGTACAGTTGGCAGATTGCATTAAGGGAACTTACGGGACTTAAATGTTCTGCATGTAAATTGATCGTCCTATCTCGACAGGGGCGGTCGGGTAGCCTAGTGGTTAAAGCGTTCGCTCGTCACGCCGAAGACCCGGGTTCTATTCCCGACATGGGTACAATGTGTGAAGCCCATTCCTGGTGTCCCCCGAAATGATATTGCTGGAATATTGCTAAAAGCGGCGTTAAACCATACTCACTCACTCACTCACTCACTCGACATCAGGGCCTTCTTCTAAGGTTACCGTTATATACTATACATTAGGTCGGTCTGTTGGAGGAACACCCAGATTTGAAAACATTACGAAAATGTACCATTCGTGAGTCTAGCTCGGTTAAAAAAGATCACGACGGCCTCTGTGCCTGGTAAATAACCACCCAAGCAGTCGGGGTAGGGTGTCACGTGACAAGGCAGATCACACATGGTGGCCAACCACTTCTTTCACGAGAGGCACGAGGTGCTGGAGCTGCACCTTGACCCGGAATCTTCAAAGGGATTTTGTTCGGTCAGAAACTGCTTGCTTCATTCATGTGTGAATGTCGGCAGTTACTTTTCTGCATGGCTGTCTATTTAGTGAATGAAGGCAATGTATTTTCTATTGATACTTGCATCAAATCTTCCCATGATATGTCTCATTTATTTTTTACCTACAGTAAACTACGGTTATAACGAACTCGATGGGACTACTTATTTTAGTTAGTTATAACCGTAGTTCGCTATAAGCATATATACAGCATAACTACAGCAAATAGTCGGGACCAAAATGGTAAGTTCGTTATATCCGTCAGTTCGTTATAAGCGTCTTCGTTATAACCGTAGTTTATTGTATATCGGCGGATAATCAAGACTAGTTATTCTTCATAAGCTCTGTAGCATGTATCTATGCTGAATCAATAACAATAGAAATATTTGGGCCGAGACATTAAAACTGCCACCCACTGTGTTGCAAAACGAATATATTTCTAAATCCCTTTTTTCTTTACTTATAAGCAACAGAATCTCAGCAGACATCGTCATATTATGATTAGATGCAACAAAACCAGTAAATGCACTATCATGTCATATTTTCTGGTTCACCGATCACTTGATTGTCTGGTTTGTTTACAGGCAGCCGTGGCATGGCAGGGGTACTCCTGTGAAGCGTCAGGAAACAAATACTTACCTTTGAGGCAAATTCTGTGACTGGCCGATAGGGAACGACATGCCTACCCTTTTCGAGAACACATAGTTTCAACACTGATTTTCAGTCCATTCATTTGATTCTAACAGCTATTTTGCACTTTAAACCAGATGGAATTTTTTTCGACGGATAATCAAAACTGCTCCTTCTCTTACATTTAAATTGTTTATATCTGAAATGATGACACGCCTACGGAAAGTTATGTCAGCAGTGCCTCGCTTCCTACTTACTAAGCCTCGCAGATGAAGTTGAGCTGAGCCTGACAGTTGTGGTCGTTCCACATGAAGTTCCTCTCAGGTTTGGCGTTGATGTGGGCGCAGTTCTCAGCCTGGTCGTAGTTGTTGGGCTGACCTTGGATCCAGGGGGTGAAGGTCGTGTTTTGGTTGAAGGTCATCAGACGCCAGTCACCCTCAGTTGACATATCGCTCAGGTCAATCCAGAACTGCTCGTAGTAATCTGGAACAAGAACATTACACAGTATGTGGCAACACGCACCTGTCACCTCAATGTGCGAGGAAAATCTGAAGGAAGCAGTAGAGACGGGTATCACTTTGGTTTTGTTTGTTTGTTTGTTGTGTAACGCCGCACTCAGCAACATTGCAGCTATGTGTCGGCGGTCTGTAAATAATCACGTCTGGACCAGACAATCCAGTGACTTACAACATAATTGGGATACGATGACATGCATCAACCAAGTCAGAGAGCCTGACTACCCGATCCCTTTAGTCGCCTCTTACGACAAGTATAGTCGCCTTTTAGGGCAAACATGGGTTGCTGAAGACCTATTCTAGCCCGGACCTTCACGGGTACCACTTTGGTAAGCTCAGCACTATAGGCTTTGAGAGACCAATCTTCCTTTTGGAACTACTCTATCGGATTCGGCCAGGAAGTCCAGGAACAGCCACATCTGACTTCTCACATATAACACTTCATTATTATGCGTTAAAAAGGTTCTCATGTGCTTTTAATGCTGTCCGAGATATTTATTTAACATTATTTAAAATGTCACTTTAAGAGCCTCTACGTTATTGGAAAGGTATGGAAAAGACATTTCAAATCGTGAAACATTACAACCAAACGAATATGAAAGGAAGGAACAAGATGTAAACTGTTTGTGTCTGGCAAGTATGGAGGCGTCAGAGACCCTGAACGTGGGCCTCACTTACCACTGTACTTCGTCTTGAGGATGTCGGCCACGGAGTCCTGTTCAAACTGGCTGGTGATGTCGGCCAGGTGAGACCTCAGCACCGTGCACCACATCTGTGGGGGAACATGTCGGCATTAGGGGCCGGCCATCTGACATTCCTGGGTGGATGGTGGGGTGGGTGGTGGGGGGTGGGATGTGTATAAGGAGTGAATTACATCTGTGGGGGAACGTGTTGGCACCAGGGACCGCCCATCTGACATTCCTGGGTGGATGGTGGGGAGGGTGGTGGGGGGTGGGGTGGTTGGTGGGGGTTTGGGATGTGTATTAGGAGTGAATCACATCTGTAGCGGAACATGTTGGCATTAGGGACCGCCAATCTGACATTCCTGGGTGGATGGTGGGGTGAGGGACTGGGGTATATATACTTTAGGAGTAAGTCACATCTGTAGCGGAACATGTTGGCATTAGGGGGCGGCCATCTGGCATTCCTGGGTGGATGGTGGGGTGGGATGTATGTACCAAAAAACTTTGTGAGTCTCCTCTGGAGAGCTACCGCAATATTGAGACATCCTATGCAAACATTTCGACGAAGTACAGTAAAATAACCAATGACGTATAATCACGGATGTGCGTTTGAAGAACATTTTAATAACGCGACTACTACAGAACGTAACAATAAACAATCAAGAACCTCGGAATGAATATGGACTCCTGGTTAATATTCATGTGTGTCTTACATTCGTGTCTTTGTCTGTTCTTACTTACGTGGGTGGGTGAGGTAGCGGAGTGGTTAAAGCGTTCCCTCGCCACCAAGAAACCCAGGTTCAATTTCCCACCCGGGTGTTATGTGTGGAGCCCATTTCTGCTGTAATATTGCTGAGAGCGGCGTCTCACCCACTTACTCTAACATAAGTGATCATTCGTTCTCTCACAGTGTCAGTATACGGCATCATCTGCGGGGATGTACCTCACGTCCTTCATGATATAATTCAGGAAACTCTCACACATCATTCATGTCCGTAGTTTCTTAAAAGAGCAAACTATTGTAAACTATTGTCCTAACAAATGGGAGAACACTGTGATACTTTATTGGGAGAATAACTCTGCTACAAACAGCCGTATGGGGAAATGAACCCTGGCGTGACCCACTGTGCTAACCCTGTAAAATCTTAAGAACGACGAAACACGAGACTTACGTAGGCCTGGGCCCAAGACGTCTGCAGCTTGACGACTTTGTAGCAGGACTTCTCGCCATTACCCAGCTCCCAGTCCTGGCGACACTGCCGGACTGCAGACATACGATGTTCCGACAATAGGAAGGTAGAATACAGGTGGTTTGTGTGAGAACATCGTCGCATTGACATTCGTGGTTACAATAGGAAGCAAGCAGCATGCGCTTGTCGTGAAAATTATGATCCAAACGGATATGCTTGTCTCCTTGACAGATGGACTGTTATCCTTGCTTATGAAGGCGTTCACTGGATTGTCTGGTCCTGACTCGATTATGTGCAGGTCGTCACACAGCCGGAATATTAGTGTGTGTGGCGTTAAACACCGACCAACAAAAAAAAACAAAGGAACTGAGCTTCAACTTTAACTTGTATATTGATGCCACTCACACAGTTCCTAGTATCTGGGTTTTTTACAGTCTCTCTATGTCCACGACATTGCCGATGCGATATAGCGCCGTGTATGAACGTAGTTCGGCTGCTTGTACTCATGCCGGTTTTATAGTGCTAGACCTCTGCTATACCATGTCACAGTTTAACATGGTTCCCCTACCATACGGACTCCGCACCAACGAATCATTGTTGTGTCCCCATAATGTTTGTTTGTTTGTTGTCTAACGCCGCACTCAGTAATATTCCAGCTATATGACGGCGGTCTGTAAATAAACGCGTCTGGACCAGACAGTGATTGACACCATGAGCATCGATCCATGCAATCGGGTTGCTGAAGACCTATTCTACTCTGGATCTTCATGGGTCGTCCCAATAATGGCGAGCGCCATGCAGGGTAACAACAAGTACCATCTTTTAACGTCGTTTGTTATGACGCGGCCGGGGATCGAACCACCGACCTACCGATGTGAGAGCAGACGCCTTACCCTCTGCACCACGGAGGCGGCGACACTATTATGGTTTTGTTTGTTTGTTTGTTGTTTAACGCCGCACTCAGCAATATTCAAGCTATATGACGGCGGTCTGTAAATAATCGAGTCTGGACCAGACAATCCAGTGATTGACATCATGAACATCGATCAACGTCATTGGGATACGATGACATGCATCAACCAAGTCAGGGAGCCTTACCACCCGACCCCGTTAGTCGCCTCTTACGACAAATATAGTCGGCTTTTACGGCAAACATAGTCGACTTTTACGGCACCCATGGGCTGCTGAAGTATGGTACAACAAGAGTACAACTTTGAGATTCGAGTTGTAATAATGACTCACCGAGGGAGTCGCAGAGACCGAGGCTGAACAGAGTGCAGAGAATCACGGCAGTCTTCATGTTGGATGATCACAAGTCGGGAACCGGCAATGTGGAGACGCGGGTCTCTGCTGTTTATATACCCGGCACATGCGGGATATTAGCTGATTATATAAACAGTAAAATGCACAGTTGGCGTAATAAGAATACATAGATATCGCATTTCCTTATCCTCTTATAAAAATGATCGTTTGCCTTAAACCTGAACATAAATCATTTTTCATGCAATGGCAGATTAAACTGTTAGCACAGGTATTTTATATGGGTCGTGAAGCCGGGGCTATTTCCTTCCACAACAAAACATCAGAGTTAAATATTTGATTGAGTGCTGAATAAACTGAAAAAAGGAGCGGAAGATCAAACTATAAGAATATAACAAATATAAGTAAGTCTTAGTTGTTTTTTTCAAAAATAACGTGAAAAGTGCAACATATTAAGAGTGAGGGGAAACACAATCAAGAGCATGACCCTGCGTGGTAAGATTTCAGTCGGGGAAAACCTTGACCCTTGTAAAATGTCCACGTCTCTGTGTGTTTGGTTGAATCCTAAGTTAGTCATGTTTTTTTTTTTTTTTTTTTTTGTTTAACCGCACATTGAAGCTATATGACAGGGGTCTGTAAATAATTGAGTCTTGAACGCACAGTCCAGTGATTGATATCATGAGCATCGATTCACGCATTTGGGATACGATGTCATGCATCAACCACATCAGCCAGCCTGACCACCCAAACCCGTTAGTCGCCTAACGACAAGCATGGGTTGCTGAAGACATATTCTAAACACAGGTAACAAAAGCACCGAGACGTTACACTGAAAGAAACTGAAACCCAAAGTCCTTGTTTTTACTCCTAAATGCCGAGCGCCGGACAGGGTAACATCTTTTAACGTCTTTTGCTATGACTCGGTCAGGGGTCGACCCCCGGACCTTCCGCTCATCGGGCGGACGCTCTGCCACTAGACCACGGAGCTGGTCGCATGGTCAAAAGAGAGAGGACCGATGCACCTTAAGGAAAAACATTCACATACAAGCCCTGGGGGCATCCAAATAAGCAGGGAATCAGGTTATGTTTGGACGTTGAGACTTAAGGTGTTGATTCTCGCCATGTAAGCCTTGTGTACAAGTATATCCTATAGCTTAGAAATAGTCATATGAAAAATGAAATAAATTATCTATAGGCCACCGTTACGAAACTTGAGTGAGTGAGTTTGGTTTTACGCCGCTTTTAGCAATATTCCAGCAATATCACAGCGGGGGACACCAGAAATGGGCTTCACACATTGTACCCATTTCGGGAATCGAACCCGGGTCTTCGGCGTGACGAGCGAACGCTTTAACCTTTAACCACTAGACTACCCGACCGCCCCTACGAAACTGGAATATTGCCGGCAAAAGCTTAGAAATCAGACAAGGGGGTGTCTAGACGTAATCAACTTCGGGTCATGACGGTTATGCAGGGGCTGGATGCTCCTGACTGGGATGCACAACAACAACATGCGTTCAAAGAACGTGATAATACGGCAGACCTGGGAAGATCATTGTAAGAATAGGTCTTCATCAACCATGCTTGTCCTGAGAGTCGACTAACGGATGCGAGTGGTCAGGCTTGCTGACGTGGTCGATGCATGTCATCGTATCCCAATTGCGTGCATCGATGCTTATGATATCAATCACTAGATTGTCTGGTCCAGACTCGATTATTCACAGACAGCTGTCATGTTGGTGGAATATTGCTGTGTGCGGCCTTCAACAACAAACAACTCAACAAACATAATACGTGACATAAACGGCAGCGCAAAAGAAAGTATGCAGCTCTGTTTGATGTGGCTAAACGTGAAACAAAGCGTGAATAGTAATCCAAAGGTGGTGTGTTTCATACGGGTATCACAGCTGTGTGTTGGAACCTAGGTTTGCGGTGTTTCGGTGACTACTTTCAGCCCAGTAACGTTTGGTAACGTTTGGTAACGTTTGTAATTGTTTGGTCAAATCCAATTTTAAAGTGTCTACACTCTTTTACCCGGCAGTTTGAAATTGACACTCAGCGTATTAAACAGACTATCTAAATTTTAGACAGCGTTAACGAATCATGAGGACTTTTACTCTAGAGTGATGTCCCTGATAGGCAGCGTTAACAGCCACTATTCCTCGGATAGTCGTATGGGTTGTTAGCAAGTGCACTGAGCAGATAAGTAAGCCGTGGCCTAAGTCTTTGTGCTGAACGACACAAAAAGCCAATCAGGATAACGTGACACTCCGAGGCAGTTCACACCGAGTGTATAAATCTGCTTAACTGTCATCCATACCGCAGACATCTTGTGCAAATACTGGGCTGCAGTTTGACTCATTTTAATCACTGATCCTCGATCGTTGTACGCTTCCATTACCGGCCAATTGTATAACGTGAACCAGTGAATCTGGTAGCGTCCGGACAGGTGGTTGTGGAAGTAGGGTTTATCACTTATGCTGAGTCAAGTACAAAATAAATGCTTGGGCTGAGATATCATGAAATTGATTTAAAAATAAAATGAGTGATTATATTACTAGGTTTGTGAAGGAGTTGTTAGGCTGGTGAACGTGTTGCTAGGCTGGTGTATGTGTGGCTAGGCTGGTGTATGAGTTGCTAGGCTGTTGTAGCTGTTTCTATACTGGTGTACGTGTTATTATGCTTGTGTACGTGTTGCTAGGCTGGCGTACGTGTTGCGAGGCTGGTGCATATGTTACTAGGCTGGTGTATGTGTGGCTAGGCTGGTGTATGTGTGGCTAGGCTGGTGTATGTGTTGCTAGGCGTGGTCGTGTTGCTAGGCTGGTGTATGTGTGGCTAGGCTGGTGTATGTGTGGCTAGGCTGGTGTATGAGTTGCTAGGCTGTTGTAGCTGTTTCTAAACTGGTGTACGTGTTATTATGCTTGTGTACGTGTTGCTAGGCTGGCGTACGTGTTATTATGCTTGTGTACGTGTTGCTAGGCTGGCGTACGTGTTGCGAGGCTGGTGCATATGTTACTAGGCTGGTGTATGTGTTGCTAGGCGTGGTCGTGTTGCTAGGCTGGTGTATGTGTGGCTAGGCTGGTGTATGTGTGGCTGAGCTGATGTATGTGTTGCTATACTGGTGTACGTGTTATGCTTGTGTACCTGTTGCTAGACTGGTGAACATGTGTTTATACATTGTGCACATGTTACAAGGTTTATATTATTTAACATTAGGTTCGTGTTCAAGCATGCACCATCTGTTGTCAGGGTAGTTGGAAAGATTAATGTAGGGCCAAGAAAAATATCAAAATGTTTTAATACAATAAGGGTATATATTATTTATTTTTCAAACATATTTTCAGGATTATGTGAAAGAGGTTAACACGTTTCTAAACAAATGAAACATTTTTTATTTTTCCTAGAATTTGAAATTAAAAACCATCAGACGATAGGCCCTGCGCAAAGCCCCACATAATGATGTGAAACATGGGTTTGTTCTCGGCCTTCCCCCATTCCGTTGAGAAGGCAAAACTGAGACCAGCAACACAGTCAGTGGCATCTGATGTCCCCTGATCCATGTCCTTGATCCACCAACGAGCATGGATGTGACAGCAGCATAATGACAGTACATTGTTCTGGTTGAGGTGATATTTTTATTGGTTAAACGATTAAGTCAGAATTTGGGAAGAGTAAGAAGAACTAATCATGGGATGGCCTTCAGCTGTATCAACTGGGGTCTCTCCTCGAGCCTTAGCCACTGAAAAAACAAATAGAATCTAGTGACATGACAAGGAATTTAATTACCAAAAAAAAAATTGGTACCCTCCAGCAAAAAATGAAATTGGATGTCAAAAAATATTCTGTCATAGAAAAAAATCTTAGCACAAACACCGCCAACATCCCACCCTCATTACGTCCTCGGATCATGGGAAGATACTATTTTAACATTATAATGAATTAAATTAAAAAATTAAAAATATATATTTTAATTCTAGAAGATGTTTGTATTATTACTGCATCGTGTTTATCTTTCTTCTGGGAACAGTGTTTGGAACCACCACTCCTGTCAGTGCTGTACTTCAAGCAAATAGGCTATCACAATACTGTAAACATCACCTGCATGAAACACGGGAACCACCAAGCATCACAACTCCAAATAAACCAATATCGATAAATCCCATTTCCTAACATCATGGTCTCACTGGCGTCCGCAGTTTGAGTGAGTGAGTGAGTTGGGTTTATCGCCGCTTTTAACAGTATTCCAGTTATATCGCGGCGTGTCAGCTTAATGTGGGAGGAAAGCCCGAAGTGATGCAGGTCTCAGCCGTTTACCACTTCGGTGAAACCCACGAGCACGGGTATGGTGCTGACAAACCTAGAAACATAATCGGGGGGAACCGGGATTCGAACCCATGATCATAGGTTTCTGGCGTGCCCAAGGGAGGCAACTCTGCACAGCGAAACGCGGCGCCTTAGACGACTGGGCCACCCGTGCCCCCGTCCGCAGTTTGAGGAACACAACAACGTTTGACTAAGTTGTCCCCTCACCCCACCCCCACCCCCTCGACGCTGTATGACACTGACAAACGCGAATTCCTTTGAATACCATAATGATACATTTCGTAAGCCATCAGTGTGACGACTGTCGGATATATTCAACTCATGGAGTTGGTGAAGGTGGTGTTCTCAACTTCTAGCAATAATTTCTCATGCTGGTATTTCTGAATGAATAATGGTATTTTTGTTTTCGGGTGCTGTTTGAAAATAAATTTGAACATAATAAACACATTGATTAAATACTTCCCGTTATGTTCGAGGATAACTACTCGATGACCGAGCGTGTGCTCGTGTCGCGTCGTCTGCTCCAAGAGAGGCGCCAAAAAACATAGCGCCCTCTAGGATAAGATGTCAATTGAAGTTGCGTCCCTTGAGTAAAATGTCCGACATGTTACCCGACGCTGTAACAGCGTTGGGCCAACGTCAGAAATCCCATGCGACTTTGACAAAGATTGCCAACGTCGGAAGTGGTTATCCTGATCGGTCGTGTGATCATCGCTGTGTATTCAAGTCCATCCAATGGATCAGTACTTGGAGATTAACAATATCAAAACAGAAGTTCCTTATTTATTTATTGTTTGTTTGTTGTTTAACGCCGCACTCAGCAACATTCCAGCTATATGACGGCGGTCTGTAAAATAATCGAGTTTGGATAAGCCAATCCAGTGATAAACATCATGATGAGCATCAATCCACGCAATTGGGATCGATGACATGTATCAACCAAGTCAGCGAGCCTGACCACCCGATCGCCTTTAACGACAAGCATGGGCTGCTGAAGACCTATTCTACCCCGGAATCTTCACGGGTCCCTTATTTATTGAGTAGGGTGGTAAAGATTAAAAAAAGATAGAGTTTGGATGACAGTACTGTTTTCCTCACGACAAGAGAATAGTTTAAATCATAGATCTCATGAACACAATAATTTGGCGTCTTTAAAAGAATACCTGAAAAAGATGTTGACATTATCCACGCGAATATGTTAATACAAAGGTACAAAGAAAACAAGTGGTGATATATGTCAAAATATTTGTAAAAAGCATTGAATAATATAAGTGATGTGAAAAGGTGATGAACGTGGTTTATCTTATATTACAGAGGATATTGAATGCAAAAGAAGAAATATTACAATGTCTACAAAGATGTATGTACATTGGGTCACCTGAACCACCCCTTCCCTTTTGTCCGATACCCCTGACAAAATATAAACATAGATCACGAGAGGCAACCTGGCCAGGTTCACCGATTCGACCAATGAGGATGGAATACACTCAAGCGTTTAATACCGATCAGATCAACTTCAACCCATGAATTCGACCGATCAGGATGTAACCGTTGGAATGCTTGCCTGGCCTGCGTTTGTGTTTCCGGCACGTTATTATGGCTCTTTGTGATATTGCTGGGAATAACCGAGTTTATTATATACATATGAATGAAATACTGGAATTTATCAGTGACGATAGATCAAGTTATCAGTCACTAGTGACTGATATAAAAAGGTTATATCAGTCACTAGTGACTGATATAAACAAGGTGCCGGAACTACTTGGAATTTTTTGACGAGTCTGATGAGGGACAAAACACTCTCCACAAGACTGTATGATAAGAGGGATGACATTAACATTCCAACTTTCACAACACTTGAGATACAATCGAGCACGCTCTTTCTATCAAACTTCAAGCGTCAAACGACTCTTCCTGAAAAGTTCCTTGATCACGGTAACAACATTCAAGGCCTCAGTAAAGTTTTCAAAAAGTCTTATTGTAGACATGTGGCAGACATTTCCAATTTTGACGCACCAGTGAAAAAAACGATGTTCGATGTATTTCACTATTTTGACCAGTACCATATATTCCCGTACTTTGTACAATTGACTTCCCTTTGTATGTGTTTGTGACGATGATCACCTTTTAGCGAACACCTAACTTGATAGTGATTCATAAACACATGCTCAAGATAAAGTCGGAACCGTGCAATCGGATTTTGGAGATAATATTTTAGATGGATATGGAACGGGTTTTGTCGTTTTCATTGAATTAGCGTATATTTTACTTTATCTGGAGCCGTAAGACTTATTGCTAAAAGAACGGGCATTTATTTTTGATGAAGTCTATATCATTTCACAATGTACAGAAAGGGTATTTCGACAGTTGGGTTCTTTAATTACAAAGACCCATTTCAAATCAATATTTTGTGTAGCGATCCAATAGCACGGCAAGCATCATCATGCGTCCCCTGAAGTGTCCATGCATCTCTAGAACTGTCATGGCTCGGAGCCACTGACCAGAGTTTTATGCACACACGCATCACACATGCGACAAATCCCTTTCACTGACACTGGTGAGTCATGCTTCCTGTGGGTCATCTGAATAGAGAAACCTCCCAGACAAGCCCACCTGCTTCGAATGACTATTCTGTAGCAGCGGCGCGTTTTCAGAGATGCTGCCAATGGATCGGGCCTTCTTCAGCTTCTGTCTCCTCTTGGCCTCCCGGATCCTGTGCTCATCCCGCCGTAGGGTCTGGATGGCTTCCCAATCGTCGTTGGTCTCAGTGTCGTGCAGGCGGGTGGCGCCTCCGAACGACCAGGAGGTTTTCATGGGTGCGCCATATTTGAAGGGGGCTCTGGCCAGGAAGTGGATGAGTGTTGAGATGCGGTGGATGATCATTGCCAGGAACTGGACCAGCAGCAGGGTGCCGAATATGAACAGAAAACTCAGACCTGGAAATCATATTTATGTAAAGTTGATACAACATCGGAGATATAGAAACATGGTATAGATACAGCTTTGGCCACTACAGTGAGAAAGGTGAAATAGGGTTTAACGTCGCATCCAAGATTATTGCACTTATATAGCCACGTGCATGATTTTTTGTGAGGCACTTGTACTAGTCCGGACTGAAGCCGATTTATAGTGCTAGCACACTGAAATAACATGCTTCAGTTTAACACGAATACCCCACTCAGACACGATATACTGACACGTGTTTTAATGTACCAAACTTTATCAATATTATTTCAATCATGAAAATAACCTTCCCAATCGCTTCCTCGTGCTCAAATAGTCTTATGGGTTTATGTGCCCTGTCTAGTTCAAATGTTTCTCCGATTATAGATTTTCGTCGGAAATGTAATATGGCCGCCAATATGTCAGCGGGCACTATGGGGCAATATGTCGCCTGGGGAACATCAAATTAATTCAGTAGACACTACGAGGAATACGAAAAATGTAAGACAGAAATTTATTTGGGCATGGGGACCCTATCTTCCTTCTAGACTAAACAGAGAGCTCATATAGGTGGAATATTGCTGATTGTGACTTTCAAAACTCAGTCACAGACTAACTCGTTTCAAATAAAGTGCCTAAGATGTAATATGTCTCACTCCCACACCAGTCATAGTAAAGGGTCACGGCGTAGTTCTATATACCTGGTGGGTTTGTTCCTAGGACAGTGAGAGTTATGTTGTACATACCAAGTGGGTTTTTTCCTAGGACAGTGGGAGTTATGTTGTACATACCAAGTGGGTTTTTTCCTAGGACAGTGAGAGTTATGTTGTACATACCAAGTGGGTTTGTTCCTAGGACAGTGAGAGTTATGTTGTACATACCAAGTGGGTTTGTTCCTAGGACAGTGAGAGTTATGTTGTACATACCAAGTGGGTTTGTTCCTAGGACAGTGAGAGTTATGTTGTACATACCAAGTGGGTTTGTTCCTAGGACAGTGAGAGTTATGTTGTACATACCAAGTGGGTTTGTTCCTAGGACAGTGAGAGTTATGTTGTACATACCAAGTGGGTTTGTTCCTAGGATAGTGAGAGTTATGTTGTACATACCAAGTGGGTTTGTTCCTAGGATAGTGAGAGTCGCGTTGTACATACCAAGTGGGTTTGTGCCTAGGATAGTGAGAGTTATGTTGTACATACCAAGTGGGTTTGTTCCTAGGATAGTGAGAGTTATGTTGTACATACCAAGTGGGTTTGTTCCTAGGATAGTGAGAGTCACGTTGTACATACCAAGTGGGTTTGTTCCTAGGATAGTGAGAGTTACGTCGCACATACCAAGTGGGTTTGTTCATAGGATAGTGAGAGTCACGTTGTACATACCAAGTGGGTTTGGTCCTTGGATAGAGAGAGTGACGTTGTACATACCAAGTGGGTTTGTTCCTAGGATAGTGAGAGTTATGTTGTACATACCAAGTGGGTTCGTTCCTAGGATAGTGAGAATCACGTTGTACATACCAAGTGGGTTTGATCCTAGGATAGTGAGAATCACGTTGTACATACCAAGAGGGTTTGATCCTAGGATAGTGAGAGTTACGTTATACATACCAAGTGGGTTTGTTCCTAGGATAGTGAGAGTCACGTTGTACATACCAAGTGGGTTTGTTCCTAGGAAAGTGAGAGTCACGTTGTACATACCAAGTGGGTTTGTTCCTAGGATAGTGAGAGTTATGTTGTACATACCAAGTGGGTTCGTTCCTAGGATAGTGAGAATCACGTTGTACATACCAAGTGGGTTTGATCCTAGGATAGTGAGAGTTATGTTGTACATACCAAGTGAGTTTGTTCCTAGGATAGTGAGAATCACGTTGTACATACCAAGTGGGTTTGATCCTAGGAAAGTGAGAGTCACGTTGTACATACCAAGTGAGTTTGTTCCTAGGATAGTGAGAGTCACGTTGTACATACCAAGTGAGTATGTTCCTAGGAAAGTGAGAGTCACGTTGTACATACCAAGTGAGTTTGTTCCTAGGAAAGTGAGAGTCACGTTGTACATACCAAGTGGGTTTGGTCCTAGGATAGTGAGAGTTATGTTGTACATACCAAGTGAGAGTCACGTTGTACATACCAAGCGAGAGTCACTTTGTACATACCTGGTTGGTTTGTTCCTAGGAAAGTAAGAGTCACGTTGTACATACCAAGTGGGTTTGCTCCAAGGACAGTGAGGTTTCCTTTAGAAGCCAGAGTGGTGATGAGTATCAACCACAGCGAGTTGCTGACGGCCACAATCATGAGCCAGGAGTTCCTCAGATCGCTCAGTCTCGCTATGGAGAAAAATGAAGCAATTGAACCAAGCAATTGTTTTATCATGTTTGTTTTATGCTCCCCTCGTCCGATTTCCACCACGTCTGAAAGCAAGGGAAAAACATGCAGGTCCAAGCAGGGCAAAAACATGCAGGGCCAAGCAGGGCATGCCATTATTGCTGTACGGGCTGACCGAGATCAGTGAGTTGGCTGCTCGTTAGATTTGATATAAAGCATACATGGAAGCATACTGGGAGATAATAATAGGAGGTGGTTATATGGCTGCGCTTGACTGCCAACGATAAAGTTTAACAAAACATTTTCTCGATGTTAGTGAGTGCGTGGTTAGGATGGAATGACGCCAATATGAGAAATAGAGCATATAGCATATAAGGACTGACGAGGAGCTGATGTCTCGGTCGGACAATACGGTGGGTCGCAGGATTTCCATCCCGTCGAATATTCACATTGAGCATTTAGTGGTAGATTAGAACTAGGGCAAATCATGCACCCGCAAAGGTCCGAGTGAAAATGGGTCTTCAGCAACCTCATATTAAGGATTTGTGGTCAGACTCGCTGACGTCAATCACTGGAGAGTGGCGGAAGAAAGCAAACAATCACCATGCTTGTCACAAGATGATGAAATGGTTAACTTAATTGCGAATTCAGCAATGGTCCATCAATGTGAATGCGACCTGTACACGATTAAGCCTGCCAACCGATCCAATTAGTCCTGCATACAGTTACCAAAGCTTGCTGGGGACCTATTTCAACCCAGAATCTCAACAGGGTGCATGTTATGTTGTTGATACCTTTCAGCTCTCCTTCAATACCAAATGCCTTGTTGCCAGGTTTCAGTGAATCCTCAATCAACCGTTTCCAGAAATCGTACTCTCCAACGTTAGATTTCCTGAGAAGGTGCTTGGGAGATCTGTCGACACGTGCTTTCATGACTATGGCCTTCTTCTCAGCTGCAACAGTCATCAGGTTCTATAAGTGTGCAGCCAGTAGCCGCAGTTTTTGTGTGGCACCTGAGTGTACAATGCCAGGCACCAAGCCGCATAGGGGAGGCTGGGGGTTACTAGCACTGATAGTTGAAAGAAAGGACATATCAAAGGACAAATGGAAGCCAGCTAGGCGATCTTTATACTCCTTATTGACTTGACAGATTTCAGTTCTACCCGTATACATCATTTAAAGATAAAATATAAAAATCATTTTCAATATGTTTTATTATAATTATTTTTATCTAATATATCAATCTACATTTCTTTTAGAAACATTTGCAAACAGTGTAGCTGGAAAGCAATGTCTGATAATTTTGGAGGAAATCATCTGAGCTTTTGGATGTTGATCATGATGTGCTCACTGCACAAACTGGTTTGGTGGTGCACGTACACAATTGATTCTTGCCATGTATGAACAAACAAAACAACTTGCTGGATGATCTGATAAATATGTGGTGTGAAGATTATAATTATTCGACTATTATTTTCAAAATAATTCAACACGTTTGTACATTCCCAGTGCCTTGCGTCCAATAATATGACATGGTTGTCTCCTTAAGAGTATAGTATGAATTTGGAAAATACTTAAATATGGTTTGTCAGTTAGAGGTATCAAACCACAAATAACCCCCTCTGATAGAAACAGCCGATTTGACGGCCACATATATTGATCATATACAGCGCCATATTTTGTTTCAGGGCTGTTGTCGGTGGTCGGCAAACACTGGTCTCAATCCATGCCGCTTCACTCAATATATTTGCTAGCACCACAGAGTTCGGGTTTAATTAAGTTATGATGAAATGGAGATAAAGATTACAAATATAGTATGTTTATCTCCTGATTAACCTACTGAGCTAGTATTGTGTAAAGTGAGAAGCATAGCTTACCTTCCGTTGGCTCCCTCAACTTCCGTATGGCGTACAGAAGCCTCTTGATGTGCCCTGCAATAGAAACCCAGGCCTTTGAATAATCACTGTCCATATCACAGTGTGCCCTCCAAACTCTCCAATCCGTAGATTGTCTGATTCAGACTTGCACAGCCCCGTCATCATAACTGGACTTGTTTCTGATTGCGGCGTAAAACATCAAGCACACAAACAACATGCAAGCACAAGAGCAAACACCATAATTTTGGAGTAATACAAAAACATGTTGACCAACATTAACTCTAATCTCCCGATATGTCTGGAACAACGCAATAAGCCGTGTAGCACCAAACCTACCTACTCTCCTTCCCTGTAGAACCTCCATGTTGAATTGATACTTGATTATATTGTAAGAACATTTTTTGACATCCATAACATTATTTCAGCAAATAAACTCAGTCCTGTAACATCCAAGTATGGATCCCCTAAAATGAATTAAAGGCGAGTGTAAGTAATTATATGCTAGTATATGTTATTAAATGTTATTATATATGTTATATTATGTTATTATATATATACCGGAAGTGACGCAGTTCAAACCACACGTTTCCTTCCCCTTGTTGTATTCATACCCGCTTTGCTCTCATTACAGGACACATGAACATGGCGTACTTTTGATGAACTTTAAAAACACCGTTGTTCATAAAAAAAGATTCAAATAGCAGTTAAATATGGTATAATAGTAACATCTTACCAGCTTTGGTGATCTTCAGCTCCCTCTCGATCTCCTTCCTTCCAAAGCCCTTCAACACACTCAGGTCTACTGGCCTCTTGATCTGGTTCCTCTTGAAGTTCTTCTTGTACTCAGAGAGACCGATCGTCTCCAACCATTCTGTCACGCTGGTCTGTAACAAACGCATAGGTGAGGGAAAGGGAGGGAGTTTAGTTCAGCGCTTCTTTTAGCAGTGTGCCAGCGAAAACCTGGAAATCCTGAAGCGAGGCATATCGCGGACATTTACTAATGTGTTGACACGTATGAGCATGGGGGTTGCTCGAACGCCCTCGTGTGGGTTCCGGGTTAGCGTAACCTAGGAGACTTATTCGATCGGGTTTCAGGCTTGTGTCATCCTGTCCCTATATCGTGGCTCGTAATATCAATCACTGGATTGTTTGATCTAATTCGACCCAGGATCATACTTTTCTTTTGAGGCGTTTTGGAAGCATCGCTGCGCAAAAAAAGTTTACCTTTTATAAACATGATATGGCACAGTATTAATCGTTTTTGTCAAAGTGAGTGAGTGAGTGAGTTGGGTTTAACGCCACTTTTAACAATATTCCAGTAATATTACGGCGGATCAGTTTAATGTGGGAGGAAGGCCTGAAATGATGCAGGTCTCAGACGTTTAACACTTTGCTGACAGCCACTAGCACGGGTATGGTACTTACTAACCTCGGAACATAATCGGGGCGAACCGGCCTTTTGAACCCACAATCATAGGTTTAATTTCTGGCATGCCCAAGGGACGCAACTCTGCACAGCGAATCTCGGCGCCTTAGACGACTGGGCCACCCGTGCCCCCATTGTGTCAAAGTGATTTACACACACACACACACACACACACACACACGTTAATATCCGGGGTAGTATAGGTCTTCAGCAACCCATGCTTGCAGTAAAAGGTGACTATGCTTGTCTTAAGAGGCGACTTACGGGATCGGGTGGTCTGGCTCGATCACTTGGTTGATGCATGTCATCGTATCCTAATTGCGTAGATCGATAATCATGATGTCAATCACTGGATTGTCTGGTCCAGACGTGATTATTTACAGACCGCCCTCAAAGAGCTGGAATATTTCTGAGTGCGGCGTTAAAACAACAAACAAACAAACACTGAGGACCATTCCGCTTACCGGTACTTCGTACTCGATCTCAAAGGCAGGCAGTAACTCGATCATCTGCAGCAGGTTCTGTAGAGGACCCTGGCCCTTGATGCCGATGTTCTTTAATTCCTTCTCCGTCATGCCGGTTATGAAGAGGGTGTTGTCAAACCCATGCTTCCTGAATACTGCGCCATAAGCCTTATGAACAGATACGGAAATCATATAGTTGTAGATTACTTGGAAGCAATTAAATTTAGAAGAGGACCTCAGTTTCGAAAGTGAACTTTTTTATAATTAGGAGATGGCTTATGATGTGGCTTATGATGTGGCTTATCATAGCCAGTTTGCCGTTTATGGCAAATTTAATCTGTTTGGGTGGATAATCTAGACTGGTTATTCTCTAGCATTGGCAATGTATAAATATTACTCATAACAAGGAGATACAGGACTTAGTGTTACTCTTCTCGCACTGTAAGGATAGGGATATGCAGATACGAAATTGTGTTTCTGTGCTTGGAAGGAGGTGATCATGAACTCAGTCACTGGGACATAAAGTTAAAATGTATTTATCTGAAATATTTATGTTCATCCCAGCTTTCTGACCGACTGAGTGCAGCTCCTTGTGACAGTGGGAGAAATAAAGTACATATATATGAAAACTGAATGTTTCTGATGGGGGAGCCATCTATGAGAGTACTCCTATGTGTAACTGTTCATACCCTGAGTTCAGGCGGGAGCCACTCTTCGACAGGGATGGGCATATACTGGTCCAGGTCGTCCTCATCATCCACAGGGCGCCTGTAGTCCACAATAGAATCTGAAAGCATAAACAGTCAATAACGATGTGCTACTGTGTTTAAGGGGAGTGTATGTCTGAGCTGTAGAGCGGGTGGGTTAGCACTATAAATCGGCATCAGTCCGGACTAGTTCAAGCAACCACACACACACACACACACACACACACACACACACGCACACACGCACACACGCGTGCAAGCACGTCGCTATATAAGTGCAATATACTTGGACGCGACGTTAAACCCCATTTCACCTTACCATCTTAAGGTGTTTCTGGAGATGCAAGTAATCATTCCGTCCGCTGACAGAGAGGGTTAATCATGATGTAATTTCGTGGGTCTCCGTCTCCTCACGTGACAGTTACCTTCCTGTGTTGCAGTTTCATACTTTGAGTGAGTGAGTGAGTGAGTCGGATTTAATGTGATTTATGTGGTCATATGATGTGACCCGTACTTTGTCCTGCAGAAGTCTCAGGTACTTTAGCATCAGCAAATATTTTAAAACAAATCTCATTGTTTTAAGATGCGAAAACCTTATCAGTAAATAAAGTAATAAACAATCCCCGCATGCTGACAAGAACACTTTGTAAGCTATATTGATGCTACATATTGCCTACAGATGAATCAAATGCAGATATTCTGTCACAATGTACACTTTGTACTCATCTGACAGCTAAACTATGTGGGCTAATACCTCCTCCTCCTTCATCAAACACTTGTAAAGATGGCTGATCGTGGATGTCGCCGCCCAATGACGTCCTGAGATCGTCAGTTGACATCCATCTATGAGTCTGAGGCGCGTCACGTTGGTGTGGCAGATCCTCAGGTTGTTGCTTAGGCACGCAACAACTACAACAAAATAATACAGCCATAAAAAACAAATAATAGTAATAGTATAATCGTCTCTATATTGCGACGTATCATATTCCGAGAATATGGTCATATAACTATTTAATTATTAGTTATCACCTACTCCGAGTTGACTCAAACTGCATTTTCAGCTCCCTGGGGAGTATGCAAACAAAGCCGATAAATGTTGTTATCATCATGGAGCCATTTTGAAAACAACTTTTATCAGCTATGTATATCCATAATACAATGAGACTCGAATATGTATGGTTGGTAGTTGAGCTCAACAAGTAAGTTCCATTTCTTGCCATCATTTAAGCTGTTTCTTTGATACGACCGTCTTAATCGTGAACTCAGATTAGTTCAAAATGCACCTTTGTCCATGTAAGTGTCTCTGAGATTGCTTTTCTGAGGAAGGTGAACGTTGGCATGTATGCTTCACCCTATGGCGATATATTCTGTTCAAATCAATATGGCCAGTTTAGTTTGTTTCTACATAATCACTAAATGGACTCGTACAGTGGATATTTGTTATGATTATGGAAATGGTTGTGACAATGACTTCAAGAAGATGTCGGGCATCGTGCCAGGCCACCTTCCATGACACAAGCGATGTTTCGATTGTAACTTCAGAATATATCTTCAGAACATACGTAACCCAATTTTCTGAAAATCAGCATCAATGTTTGTCTTCATTAGTAAATTGAACTTCCCTTTTCATTAAACTCAATAAAACAAAATTGATGTGAACGCCATGAACATATCTCCGTTTATGGTTTTGTGCATCCTTTGGATTTAATCAAATGGGAGAAGAGGTGACATGTGAATGGACAGACGGAGACACGGTCCTTGGGAGACATACACTTGTTTACATGAATTTAATACATGGTCATACAGGATGTTGGTACATCATGGTGAGTCTCGCTGTCTTGGTTAATGTATGCCATTGTATCCCAAATCCATGCGCATGATGTCAATCACTGGTTTGTCTGATTCAGACTCGGTAATGTACAGACCGCCGTCACATAGCTGGAATATTGGTGAGTGCGGCGATAAACAACAAACAAACAAACATGGACTTACAAGAATATGTTCTCCAGTATCCTCCTCATGCTGCTGTACCAGGGTTCCCCCTTGACGGATGTTTCAGTCGTCTTTTCCTCCCGTGTTCCTGTCAACATGCAGAAGAGTTGTTGATGTGACATGAACCGTCAGTATAAAATAGCCCCCAACTCTAATATTTGTCATTAACGTTGATAAGAATCAATCTTGTCAACTCGTTGTTACACCAAACTCCAACATTCTCCCATTCAAAGTTGTTGTCTCCATGGGTAGTTTGTGTCAGAAGAGGTCCAACGAAATCTCTGCTCGACCAAATGGATCGGATGGTCAGGCTCGGTGTTTTAGTCGATTATGTCATCGTCCCGAACGACGTGTATGAACGACTGGTTTGTGTTCAAGGCTTGGTTATCTTTTGACAGACATGATTTACATATATGAATAGATATGAATATAGGAAATCTGATGATTATTTGTAATCTACACGTGTAATATAATGTTTACACTCTCGAATACAAAATACAGCGTCAAGTGCCCTGTCAGACTGCATAGTATCTCCGTGGACAAGCACTATAAAACCGGGATAATGGCGAAGTAGTATAAGCAGCCACACACACACGTGTGCATGGTTATGTGAGTAAAATAACCTTGAACGCGATGGTGTTTATTGTGATTTGAAATCTCTAATTGACAATCAGAATAAAGTATTTAAATTATTTTTTGCACTGTAATTTGCGGTGCCATTGGGGCCAAATATTTTTGGGGACCTTTGATTTATATTTTTGTTTTATGCGTCAAAAGAAGCCGAATACTTCTTTTCTCTTTTACACTTTTATCAGAACATCCAGCAAATCCTTTTTTTGTAAACTCTGAGCCAAATTAATGTTTTGCACTATAAATTGCAGTGCCTTTGGGCCCCAAAATTAAATATTCTTGGGAACCTGGGATTTTTTTGTTTTCGCTATATGCGTCAAGAGAAGGCGAATAAGTATTTTTTTTGTCACGCTTTTATCAGAACATCCAGCATTTTTTTGTTTGTAAACACTGAGCCAAGTTACTTACTTAGTATTTACTGGAACACAATACATTAAAACATCCCAGCCTACCCACAATATAAAATTGTGCCTCATCTTCCAGTGATTGCTTACACAGGTGCAGCAGCTGTAACCTACCCCAGCTTCTGTCTGTGATGTTGCACACGCTGTAGAGCATCAGTACCAGGTACCCGGATGGAAGACACAGAAGGTACCAGATACCGTTGACGAGACAATAGCATTCCCTAGGGTGCAGGATTCCAGCAAGGACAAAAATAGCCATGATTGACCCAAAGTAGATCGTCGTCACCGACACGGGAATCTCAATACCGACATCTGTTAATAAAGCATTTTTTACATGAACACCTGTATGTGTGAAGAGATAATTGAAAATATATGCTTTCCTTAAAAACTCATGAACTTCTATGAGATACAATCGATCATGCCCTTTCTACTAGGGGCTGTCGGGTAGCCTAGTGGTGAAAGCGTTCGCTCGTCACGCCGAAGACCCGGGTTCGATTCCCGACAAGGGTACAATGTGTGAAGCCCATTTCTGGTGTCCCCCGCCGTGATATTGCTGGAATATTGCTAAAAGCGGCGTAAAACCAAACTCACCCACTCACTCTTTCTACTAGCATTTCAAAGAGCGTCATACGATTCTTGCTGAGAAGCTGTTTGATCAAGCTTACAACATTCAAGGCCTCAGTAAATCTTTCAAATCTCTTCTGGTAGACATGTGGACGACTTTTCCAAATTTGAGTCAAATTAGTGACAAAAATTATGTCCGATGCACTTCCCTATTTTAACTTCTTTCAGTGGCATTTAGAAGTTGGTGTGATGAAGTTAGACACGTTCTATGGATGAACAACTTCTTTATTACAATTAGTGCGACGTTTCGGTGTAGATCCTAACACCTTTATCAAGCAAGTGATGGATAGTACTAAACAACATAGGTATATAAACTTATCGTAAACGTCGCACTAATTGTAATAAAGAAGTTGTTCATCCATAGAACTTGTCTTACTTCATCACACCAACTTCTAAATGCCACTGAAAGAAGTTAAAATAGGGAAGTGCATCGGACATAATTTTTGTCACTAATTTGTTGTCACTAATAAGTTGTTCATCCATAGAACTTGTCTTACTTAATTCCCTATTTTGACTTGTATTTGTGACGGGTGGGGCAGGTGGGGCGAACACCTGCTATCATTACTATTTGATAGTGATTCATAAACACATGCTCCTGATATAGTCGGAGCTGAACAATCGACTCATGTAGGTAGATATGTCTGTTGGATATGGAAAGGGTTTTGTCGCTTTATTTACTTCCCTATCAACATGACATGTGCCCACTTTCCACGCGCGAAAACTATGTCCCTCGTGTCCCCTTGGATCTCCTTGAACACTTGATCAGTTTGTGTTACTAATTCCACGTCAGCTTGGTTCTATCACACTGATCTGCATACACAACTCCAGAAGGGGTACAGGGGCGTGTACCCTAAGGTTTTAAAGCATACTTTAACGCGGGAAACCCCAGTGGTGATCTGCATACAAAACTCCAGAAGGGGTACAGGGGCGTGTACACTAAGGTTTTAAAGCATACTTTAACGCGGGAAACCCCAGTGGTGATCTGCATACAAAACTCCAGAAGGGGTACAGGGGCGTGTACACTAAGGTTTTAAAGCATACTTTAACGCGGGAAACCCCAGTGGTGATCTGCATACACAATTCCAGAAGGGGTACATGGGCGTGTACCCTAAGGTTTTAAAGCATACTTTAAAGAATGAAACCCTAGTGGTGATCTGCATACACAACTCCAGAAGGGGTTCAGGGGCGTGTACCCTAAGGTTTTAAAGCATACTTTAAAGAATGAAACCCTAGTGGTGATCTGCATACACAACTCCAGAAGGGGTACAGGGGCGTGTACCCTAAGGTTTTAAATCATACTTTAAAGAATGAAACCCCAGTGGTGATCTGCATATACAATTCCAGAAGGGGTACAGGGGCGTGTACCCTAAGGTTTTAAAGCATACTTTAACGTGGGAAACCCTAGTGGTGATCTGCATACAAAACTCCAGAAGGGGTTCAGGGGCGTGTACCCTAAGGTTTTAAAGCATACTTTAAAGAATGAAACCCTAGTGGTGATCTGCATACACAACTCCAGAAGGGGTTCAGGGGCGTGTACCCTAAGGTTTTAAATCATACTTTAAAGAATGAAACCCCAGTGGTGATCTGCATACACAACTCCAGAAGGGGTTCAGGGGCGTGTACCCTAAGGTTTTAAAGCATACTTTAAAGAATGAAACCCTAGTGGTGATCTGCATACACAACTCCAGAAGGGGTTCAGGGGCGTGTACCCTAAGGTTTTAAAGCATACTTTAACGCGGGAAACCCTAGTGGTGATCTGCATACACAACTCCAGAAGGGGTTCAGGGGCGTGTACCCTAAGGTTTTAAAGCATACTTTAACGCGGGAAACCCCAGTGGTGATCTGCATACACAACTCCAGAAGGGGTTCAGGGGCGTGTACCCTAAGGTTTTAAAGCATACTTTAAAGAATGAAACCCCAGTGGTGATCTGCATACACAATTCCAGAAGGGGTACAGGGGCGTGTACCCTAAGGTTTAAAAGCATACTTTTAAGAATGAAACCCTAGTGGTGATCTGCATACAAACTCCAGAAGGGGTACAGGGGCGTGTACCCTAAGGTTTTAAAGCATACTTTAACGCGGGAAACCCCAGTGGTGATCTGCATACACAATTCCAGAAGGGGTACAGGGGCGTGTACCCTAAGGTTTTAAAGCATACTTTAATGCGGGAAACCCCAGTGGTGATCTGCATACACAATTCCAGAAGGGGTACAGGGGCGTGTACCCTTAGGTTTTAAAGCATACTTTAACGCGGGAAACCCCAGTGGTTATCTGCATACACAATTCCAGAAGGGGTACAGGGGCGTGTACCCTAAGGTTTTAAAGCATACTTTAACGCGGGAAACCCCAGTGGTGATCTGCATACACAACTCCAGAAGGGGTTCAGGGGCGTGTACCCTAAGGTTTTAAAGCATACTTTAAAGAATGAAACCCCAGTGGTGATCTGCATACACAATTCCAGAAGGGGTACAGGGGCGTGTACCCTAAGGTTTAAAAGCATACTTTTAAGAATGAAACCCTAGTGGTGATCTGCATACAAACTCCAGAAGGGGTACAGGGGCGTGTACCCTAAGGTTTTAAAGCATACTTTAACGCGGGAAACCCCAGTGGTGATCTGCATACACAATTCCAGAAGGGGTACAGGGGCGTGTACCCTAAGGTTTTAAAGCATACTTTAATGCGGGAAACCCCAGTGGTGATCTGCATATACAATTCCAGAAGGGGTACAGGGGCGTGTACCCTAAGGTTTTAAAGCATACTTTAACGCAGGAAACCCCAGTGGTGATCTGCATATACAATTCCAGAAGGGGTACAGGGGAGTGTACCCTAAGGTTTTAAAGCATACTTTAAAGAATGAAACCCCAGTGGTGATCTGCATACAAACTCCAGAAGGGGTACAGGGGCGTGTACCCTAAGGTTTAAAAGCATACTTTAACTCGGGAAACCCCAGTGGTGATCTGCATACATAATTCCAGAAGGGGTACAGGGGCGTGTACCCTAAGGTTTTAAAGCATACTTTAACGCGGGAAACCCTAGTGTTGATCTGCATACACAACTCCAGAAGGGGTTCAGGGGCGTGTACCCTAAGGTTTAAAAGCATACTTTAAAGATTGAAACCCCAGTGGTGACCTGCATACACAACTCCAGAAGGGGTACAGGGGCGTGTACCCTAAGGTTTTAAAGCATACTTTAAAGAATGAAACCCTAGTGGTGATCTGCATACACAACTCCAGAAGGGGTTCAGGGGCGTGTACCCTAAGGTTTTAAATCATACTTTAAAGAATGAAACCCCAGTGGTGATCTGCATACACAACTCCAGAAGGGGTTCAGGGGCGTGTACCCTAAGGTTTTAAAGCATACTTTAAAGAATGAAACCCCAGTGGTCATCTGCATACACAACTCCAGAAGGGGTTCAGGGGCGTGTACCCTAAGGTTTAAAATCATACTTTAACGCGGGAAACCCTAGTGGTGATCTGCATACACAACTCCAGAAGGGGTTCAGGGGCGTGTACCCTAAGGTTTAAAAGCATACTTTAAAGATTGAAACCCCAGTGGTGACCTGCATACACAACTCCAGAAGGGGTACAGGGGCGTGTACCCTAAGGTTTTAAAGCATACTTTAAAGAATGAAACCCTAGTGGTGATCTGCATACAAAACTCCAGAAGGGGTACAGGGGCGTGTACCCTAAGGTTTTAAAGCATACTTTAACGCGGGAAACCCCAGTGGTGATCTGCATACACAATTCCAGAAGGGGTACAGGGGCGTGTACCCTAAGGTTTTAAAGCATACTTTAACGCGGGAAACCCCAGTGGTGATCTGCATACAAAACTCCAGAAGGGGTACAGGGGCGTGTACCCTAAGGTTTTAAAGCATACTTTAAAGAATGAAACCCCAGTGGTGATCTGCATACACAATTCCAGAAGGGGTACAGGGGCGTGTACCCTAAGGTTTTAAAGCATACTTTAAAGAATGAAACCCCAGTGGTGATCTGCATACACAATTCCAGAAGGGGTACAGGGGCGTGTACCCTAAGGTTTTAAAGCATACTTTAAAGGAGTGTACATACATAATAACAGTAAACTAATGACGTTCAGCGGGCCCTGTGTATCCTGCTCTGTTATATTCTGAGATATTGAGTAAGTTCTTGTGATTACAAAAGCACCCCTTCATGTCTAAAAAGCTGCGTGTTTGAGGTTCATTACCCCCAATCACAAAACAGACGTAACTGATTCCAACTCAGCTTTTTTATCCCTCTGCAAGTAGTTGTTTCAATGACCCAAAACATGTGTCGGAAATTCTGACCTGATGGTCTGATAGGATTGATGGTGGTGCTGCTGTTGGTGTCGGGGTTGGGCTCGGACCTGTCCAAGTCATCCACAAGCTGCTCCGCCGTCCCAACAACTACAGCCGTCATGACTATCGCGTAGAAGAACGTCAGCAGCTTCGCCGCCTGCAATGTACGAACCATTCAGAGAATGATCTAGAGGATACACGTATAATGTCTTCAGTTTAAAGCTGGGTTAACTACACTACATTGAGGTTTCAAATCTACAGGTAGCCGCGTTCTAAATTGAAAACACTGAACACTTGGGATTAGCGAAAATACTGAATGAAGGCTCACGGATTTAGTTCACTGTTTTGAATGGTGAGTGAGTGAGCGAGTTGTGTTTAACGCCGCTTTCAACAGTATTCAAGTTATATCGCGGCGTGTCAGCTTACTGTGGGAGGAAAGCCCGAAGTGATGCAGGTCTCAGACATTTACCACTTCGGTGAAAACCACGAGCACGGGTATGGTGCTGACAAACCTAGAAACATAATCGGGGCGAACCGGGATTCGAATCCACAAGCATAGGTTTCTGACGTGCCCAAGGGACGCAACTCTGCACAGCGAATCTCGGCGCCTTAGACGACTGGGCCACCCGTGCCCCTATTTTGAGTGGGAATTCAGGAATCACGGACAATAATCTCTATACAATGAAATGCGCTGCATGTGCCTGAGCATTGTTTTACATCGAGATGCCAAACTCTCATATATGGCAGGCGTAGACAGTGGAAGCTATTTTGCCAGCAAGCATGTCGTGGGCACCCTTAAAGAAAAGTAGATACGTTTTAGTTCTACACCGCACGTCATAATTATGACGTCTCACTGATCATTATGACGCAGACAATACGTAGTCACAGTCGGCTACAGTAAGCTCTTTTTGTCCCACAACTTAAAATGTCTCTCAGTCGATATCTATCCTATGTTCTGCAGAAAGTATATAACCACACATACTTTGAGTGAGTGAGTGAGTATGGTTTTACGCCACTTTTAGCAATATTCCAGCAATATCACGGCGGGGGACCCAGAAATGGGCTTCACACATTGTACCCATGTCGGGAATAGAACCCGGGTCTTAGGCGTGACGAGGGAACGCTTTAACCACCAGGCTACCCGACCGCCCCCTTTAACCACTAGGATACCCAACCGCCCCACACTTTCTTTGAATATTCTAGTTAGGGTAAATCTGCATTTTATAAGACAAGTATATAATTGTACATTTCATCATTCACAAATACCTACCGACAATGACTGACAAAGAAGTGTTTTCCATTAATATTATATTTAACGGTGATACGGTCATCACATCTGATGTTTCACTGAGAGGTGGTTATTGTGAATTGATACCTCTGTAATTTTTAACTTATGGTAGACTTATGCTAATTGCATGTAGATCGGAATTAAGGTCAACTCAAAAATATCTTTATCTTTACAACTTCATTTATAATTGAGTTTATATCTTCTAAATATTGTTTCTTTGGCCCTAAAATATAATTGTTAAATTAGAACACGAAAGCAGCACGATTCAACAAAGAATTACAGTATTCCTCATTGTTTACGTTTCCGACTAATCTGACAAATAGAACAGTGGTGTACCAGCATCTGTGTCTTGTCTGATGTGTAGAGACAGATGAGGGCAAAGCTGACACATATCAGCAGCTGTATGACGACTGACGCCACGGAGTCCACCTCCCAGGCAAATGTCAAACCACCTGGAAACACAACATCACAACACATCAGCAGCTGTATGACGACTGACGCCACGGAGTCCACCTCCCAGGCAAATGTCAAACCACCTGGAAACACAACATCACCAACATATCAGCAGCTGTATGACGACTGACGCCACGGAGTCCACCTCCCAGGCAAATGTCAAACCACCTGGAAACACAACATCACCAACATATCAGCAGCTGTATGACCACTGACGCATCGGAGTCCACCTCCCAGGCAAATGTCATACCACCTGGAAACACAACATCATCAACATATCAGCAGCTGTATGACGACTGACGCCACGGAGTCCACCTCCCAGGCAAATGTCAAACCACCTGGAAACACAACATCACCAACATATCAGCAGCTGTATGACCACTGACGCATCGGAGTCCACCTCCCAGGCAAATGTCATACCACCTGGAAACACAACATCATCAACATATCAGCAGCTGTATGACGACTGACGCCACGGAGTCCACCTCCCAGGCAAATGTCAAACCACCTGGAAACACAACATCACCAACATATCAGCAGCTGTATGACCACTGACGCATCGGAGTCCACCTCCCAGGCAAATGTCAAACCACCGGAAACACAACATCACCAACAAGGCATTAACAAATGTTATATTTGGGCTAACACATTCTTAGTACAGTACAATACAGATTCTCGTATTTTGGGGGGTTGAGCCCCGTCCGATATTCGACCCCAAACTGCTAGACTGAGGCACCTAATTGCCAGCACACAAAGACAGCGGTCTAACCCACTCACCCACCCAGCCACAGATACTTCCTCAACCCCCAAAAGTACAAGAATCTGTACTTTACTAAGAAGGTGTTATCTGCACTTTCTAAATGGCATTGTGTTCATGACAATGCATTACACAATGTGGCAGTTTGTACTTAAAGCCTGAATATTCAACAGCAATATCTTCATCAGTGTTCATAAACTGTTGAGCAAAGAAAAACATACACCTATGCTTGATGATGGCTACAAGTGAAACAAACAAGAAATGGTGATGTATTTGAAACTGATATCATGGTTGTGTTTTGGGACTTAGATTTGCAGTGTTTCGGCGATTGTTGTCCGCCATGTAACGCTTTGTTAACATTTTGTAAATGTTTGGTCAAATCCAATTTTCAAGTGAATACAAAATTATTTCGCGAGGCAGGTTACTTCAAGCTTGTCTTGATGTTGACGTCGATACTCAATCCTGGTTGCCACAAAAAGGTAAACGACTGACAACATCTATAGAAAACAGTATCAATTATTAATTAGGTGAGGTGAGGTGAAATTGGGTTTAACGTCGCGTCCAAGATTATTGCACTTATATAGCGACGTGCATGCACGTGTCTGTGTGTGTGTGGCTGCTTGTACTAGTCCGGACTGATGCCGATTTATAGTGCTAGCTCACTGAGATACCATGCCGCAGTTTAACATGAATACCCCACTCAGACACAGTATACTGACTCCGAGCCGACCAGTCCTTGTTTTAGCCCCTTAATGCCGAGCGCCAGACAGGGTAACAACAAGTACAATCTTTTAACGTCTTTTTGTATGACGCGGCCCGGGATCGAACCCCGGACCTTCCGCTCTCCGGGCGGACGCTCTACCACAAGACCACGGAGGCGGTCCAATTATTAATTAAATCAAGTCATTAAACAGCATATGTGTATGTGAGACGGGTCTTACATCCCTTTCATTACAATACGTGATAACGACCATACATGTTACTGTACTTTTGTACTGGATTCGAAAGTTCCATAAAAAAACGTACAAAAAGAGATATATTGCTGGGTCCAGCTAATGTACCACCAAATCCCTGTCTCAAAGACTGACCATCATCCTTAGTACCTTCAAGGAAGGACTTTCTTTATATTCACAGAAAGTATTTGAGACAAGTAGAATACCATGTGGATTCTCAAAAACTCAAAGGATTCGCTTGACTTAATGCAATCTCAGAAAAGAACCAAGTTCCATTCTGTCAAAACATTTGACGACTATCCAAAATTACAAACTTAAGGAAAAAGTCAGTTCCTTGATCCATGGGGCTTTTGTGACTATCTTCAATGGTTCAGGGTAATCCGTCCAAAATGAAAGCAAATGCCATCTGAAGTATACTAAGTAAACAATATAGGAGATGCTGGACTTCCTCATCTATAGCATCAATGTAAAATTTGTGGGTAAGACATTTAGGCTATGGACAATAATTAAGCTGCCCTTCTTGTTGATATTTCCACATATGAATAGGAATTTCCTCACAGACTGGAAAATCAAGAAATAGTTATTTTCCAAGAAGTTCAACTTTAGCTTCAAGTATGATCTGACATCGTTCAATAACCATCAAATAGCCAATTTACTTCAACTGATTAACCTACCTGATGGATAAGTTTACCAATTTAGCATTTCTTTGAAACGTAGACATGGATTTGGGTTCGCAACTGAACAATTCACTTATAATGAGAACGATTCTCATTATAAAGAGACCCCCCACCTCCATTTCTGTGGGTCAAATGCAGGCAACTGGACCAAGAAGATTAACTGAATTTTCAGATAATCGATGATCTGATATCGTTCATTAACCATCATATAGCCAATTAACTTCCTCTGATTTACCCACCTGAACTATATATAGCTAGAAATAAGGGCGACCAGTGGGACCGACTCATCTGTTTATTATTTCAATCTGTGTATACAGATCCAGAGGGACACAACACTCTCCACACGACTGTAGACAAGAGGGATGACTTCAACTTTCCAATGGTCAACTTTCCCTTCATGTCGAGCAATGTTCCAGCAGCTCCAGCCATTGGTGGTTACATTTAACAATTTTGTGATACGATCGAGCATACTCTTTCTACCACGATTTCAAATAGCGTCACACGACTCTTGCACAGAAGATGTTGCAACATTCAAGGCATCAATAAATCTATCGAATCCCTTATGGCAGGCATTTCCATATTTGAAGTATCAGTGACAAACACGATGTCCAATGCAATTGCCTATTTTCACATGTACCATATGTTTCCGTGTTGTTTTTTAATGTCAACAATTGACTTGCATGTGCATGTGTTTGTGACGGGTGCGACCCGTGGGGCACGTTACGCTCGCCTCTTCGCGAACACCTGGTGTCATCACTGCTTGAAAGTGATTCGTAAACACAAGCTCATGACATAGTCGGAATCGTACAATCTACTCTGCTTTTGGCAGACACATTATAAGAATGTGGAAAGGTTTTGTCGCTTTTATTTACCTGAAACAATCAAGATGACCGTGCTGGGACCAATCAGAGTGGAGAAGAGCAGCGCCCCCTGGTAGACAATGAACAGCAGTGACACTCGGTAGTTGAACAGTCGGATGATCTGCCACTGTTTGATCAGCAGCATGAGGTTGGCAATGGTGGAGGCCACCCAACGTCGCCTCTGTTTGTAGAACTCCTCAAACTCACTGGGGCAGTGTGTGGAGTTCTCAGCGGCTGCGCAGTACTCAATTCTCCAACCGCTCTGAACCTGAGAAAAGGAAGGTTCGGTTCTAGAATATGTTGATAAATATTAATGACACAAAGTATAGATAGAACACTATTTTACAGGTTGAACAAAATAGTAATTTTAGGAGATAAAGTTTCGGTCTCTGAAAGGATGAAGGAAATGATGTTCTTGGCTCAACGAACACATTATATTTTAGAAAGGAAAATCAACATTTCTTTTACGTACAGAGGCATTTTCATGTTTCAGTAACGTTTCCTGTTGTAATCTCACAATTGAAACTATCATGGTGAGCTTGCCAATGCTTTCCTAAAATGAGTGTATTATGGATAAAAACTTCTGGTTTGTGACATTTAGACGACGTTAACAACTAGATTCTGACACAAAGCTGGGATGACTACAACCACGTGATGAGAGGTATATATATATATGATATGTTGTGGGAAGCAGTAAATTAATATTAACAATAACAACAACCGGTTCAACTTGCATCACGCAGGTCATTTTCTTCAACATTAAGTTGATAAGTGTTCCAAAAAGGCTAAAAAGGCTCAGAGACAGTCAACACAACGCACTGCTCACCATGCGTGTACACAGCCAGCGATCCTCTCCCATATCCTGCACTTGGTCCTACATTCAACACAACGCACTACTCACCATGCGTGTACACAGCCAGCGATCCTCTCCCATATCCTGCACTTGGTCCTACATTCAACACAACGCACTACTCACCATCAGTGTACACAGCCAGCGATCCTCTCCCATGTCCTGCACTTGGTCCTACATTCAACACAACGCACTACTCACCATGAGTGTACACAGCCAGCGATCCTCTCCCATGTCATGCACTTGGTCCTACATTCAACACAACGCACTGCTCACCATCAGTGTACACAGCCAGCGATCCTCTCCCATGTCCTGCACTTGGTCCTACATTCAACACAACGCACTGCTCACCATCAGTGTACACAGCCAGCGATCCTCTCCCATGTCATGCACTTGGTCCTACATTCAACACAACGCTCTGCTCACCATGAGTGTACACAGCCAGCGATCCTCTCCCATGTCCTTTGTCAGGAAGTCAAACGCATGTTCCACATTGGTGGAGTATACTGTGAGGATCTCCTTGAGGGCGACACAGCGATACACACTGAAACACCCTGGAGCACAGAGCACCGACCCCAGAACATGTTCTGCTGCCTGGAAATACAGGAAGAACATGAGAAGACACATTTCAAAAGATCTATGAAACCGTTATTTAAGAAGTGTTGGAACGTATCCATGTTGAACTAGGATATTTTCAATTTCAGGGGAGAACGATGGTCATGAATCTTGATTTATGAAGTTAATTTGATATGATGCTTCTCCTAGAGACATGCATTGTGAAGTCACGGGTGGCCAAGTCGTCTAAGGCGCCGCGATTAGCTGTGCAGAGTTGCGTCCCCTGGACTTGCCAGAAACCTATGACTGTGGGTTCGAATCCCAGTTCGCCCCAATTATGTTTCTAGGGTGATCAGCACCATACCCATGCTCGTGGGTTCACCGAAGTGGTAAACGTCTCTTCGGGTTTTCCTCCCACATTAGGCTGACACGCCATAATATAACTGGGATACTGTTAAAAGCGGCGTTAAACCCAACTCAATCACTTACTCGAGGTATGGCAGCATGGTACCATGGTTGTGTATTTTGAATTTAATTTGATTGCAACCGTCCCCTCGAGGTATCGAATCATAGAACCATGGTCATGTATTTAAAAGTTAATTTGATTGAAATGATGGTACTGTGTAAATCATTCTCGTCTTGGTCAATTTAAATCCACGTATGTGTCAGCTTGTCAGTGTGTATTCCACTGTTAAGAATGTAAAAAGTGGACAGGACCAACCTTTTGGAACCAGTGGCCAACAGCATACTCGAACACTTGATACCATACAATAGGTCCACTTCCCATAGGGTGGGTGCGTGCGCACACTGCGCCAACTGAGCGGTCACGTGTCATGAGGTCAAGGAGGGCTTCAACCGAGTCAGGAGTAAATCTGACGTCCGCATCAGTAGTCAGGATGTAGCAGTCTTCATCATTCGCTGATGACATATAGCAAAGGTCAAGCAAAACTGGCTTCTAAAAACGCTTTCCAATGAACATCGTTTTTCTTTTACTATTCATTTCGTTCGTGAATTGATACCATCCTTATAAATTCGTCTTATTTAAGTCTTGTCCAGAGAACTAGTGTAAACCTTCACCAGTCCTCAGAGTGTGTCGCTAATAGCAGGAAAAAGACGAAATGTTTGCTATGGTTATATTTTCTGTCAGTTTAATTCAATTTGAATTTGTAAAATAATTGAATCATTACATATGGTTAATAAGTTGTTGCCCTAAAATGCTACCAGTTAACGAGGACTACCATCATTGGGGTTTTTCCTCAACACAATTTATTATCATCGGGCTAGCGGACAAGCGTGAATTTCAAAGGCTGCAATAACCGGTTTAGTTGGCTTATACGGCAACAGAGAGGTTCTAATAATAGCTTACGATTACCTCATAAGTCCAAGTGAACATAGTTTAAAAATGTCCGAAATCAATGTCACTATAGTATTGTACTACAGTCCTATTCCTTTTCAACCCAATCTTATCATCTGCAGTCCAATTTCATATTTCCAAATGGACAACCACAAGTCTGCCATACACCATCAGCTCCTTCCCATCATGACCTATATATAATGCCATGAAACATGCACACTTCGAAGGATTTTGCCGCAAGGGAAACATCTCTGGTTTTGGTTCCTTGTAAGCGCCACACTCAACAACATTCAAGCTAAATATCGACACAATCCAATGATTGACATCATGAGTATCGATCAAGGCAATTGGCCCCATGGGATACGATGACGTGCATCAACCAAGTCAGCGAGCCGAGCCACCTGATCCCATCAATCGCCTCTCACAACATGCATGGGTTGCTGAAGACCAACTCTAACCTGAATCCTCACGGGCGAAACCTCTGTATTATATATTTATTCATGCGTATTTCTGATGAGTCCTTCTAGTACTATATTATTGTTTGTTTGTTTGTTGTTTATCGCCACACTCAGCAATATTTCAGCTATATTACGGCGTTTTGTAAACAATCGAGTCTGGACTAGACAATCCAGTGATTAACATCATCGATCTACGCAATTCGGATACGATGACATGCATCAACCAAATCAGCGAGCCTGACCACCTGATACCGTTAGGGACCGACCATTTGATATTCTGGAGGGTGGGAAACCTGGGATTTTAATTATCGAAAAGATCCCCGAAAGATCTTGACAAAATTAATAATGCTTCAGACTGTCGAACAAAAAAGAAATTGAATGCCACAAAAAATACATGGTATTAAATACCTAATCTCGATACAATATCCCCTCCACACACACACACCCTAATGTCAAATGGACGGTCCCTGAGTCACCTCTTAATAAAAGCATCGTCGCGTCTTACGACAAGCAAGAGGAGTATGACTTACCTATTATGACTTATCTGATGTTAGCTACTTACACGTCATCAGGAAGTCGATCACATAGGACATGTACATGATTTGACTCCATCGTTTCTTATTTCGAACCTGCAAAGTAGCAGCAATAACATAGGACCAAATTCCAGGAATATAAAAATAAAAGAAACATCAAATATTGCAATCAGAAGATTTTGGTGTCCCAAATTCAAAATGTCAACGCCAAGAATAAATAGTATCGGTTATCGGCCGAAATAGATTCCAGAGGACGAAACGGTGATAAACATTATCTGAATGGATCACGAAAAATTTGTAATTAGTCGACCAAGTTAACCTACAAATGCTGCAAAAATAAATACAACAACTATGGCAGACACAGCAAACAAGCATAGCAAAACAAGGCCTCTAAATATTAAACTACACCTATGGTTTTAACCGCAAACTCTACCTGTTGTTTATGTCCCTTTGGTCATGAGATCACCATCACTCAAATATTTGAAAGAAAGAAATGTCTTTGTACATGAAACGAACATTTGTACGAATCAAGGTATGGGGCTGGCATAGTTAGCCTACCTGAATGTGAGAACTTGAGAACCATTATCCCAACAAGACTGATTGAGGTTACACCGCTTTTAGCAATATTCCAGTAGTATCACGTCGGAAGACGACAGAGATGTTTGTAACCAAACCCCGGCCTTTCCTATTGACGAGCGAACGCTATAACAACTAAGCCTCTGCAACAACTGTATCACTTATTTTGGAGACATTGGAGGCTGGCGGTGTAGCCCATCAGTTGTAGGAAAACGTGGGAGTTGAAGCTGTTTTGAGATGCAGGTAATTTCGCTTACCTTCAGTCCGTCCTTAAGATGTATGTTGAACGTCATTGGTCTGACTTTGGAAGAAGGCTGGGGCAGGTTCCAACTCAACTTCATTCCGTATGGCGTCTCCACCTTCGTGCAGTTGTCTGTCATAATACCTGAAGGGGAGGAGGAGTGAGGTTGGACACACAGAAAACACTCACTCACTCACTCCAGATACAAATGAACATGCATACACTCTATGCATCGAGGCAAGGGACAGAAATGATTTGTTTTTATACTTTGTAGTGCTGGGTAACTCAGGTTCTCAGAATCACGAGAAAAATGTTAAGGCTCCAGGATCATGCACAGGACAACGTCCAATGTTGGCTGAACTGTAAGAGTTGGACTTCAATGGGGATTCGGGGGAGTACAGTTAGCATTGGTAGTTCGCACATATACAGGATTATACGTTAATACATCTACGGGGCACCCGATTGATTGAAAACAATTGATATAAAATTCCTACCCAGAGTTTCCTTCAGCAAGGTCAGGAGTTGTAAGGCAAACTCAGAGATGTTTTTGTTCCGTATACCGCCGTCGAAGATGACGTGAGACTCAAAGAACCTGTCATCATTAGCACGTGCCAAGTTGATTTTGTTGATGGACTGGAGAAGTTGTCGCATCTCCACTTCATTCTGGCGAGAGATAGGCACACATTGCAAACAATACATTTAAAAACGACATCAAGAACAATTGTTGATATTTTTAAGTGGATCATTTGATCTGTTCCCTTTTTAATTTCTGTGTCTGATGACGCCACGCCGAGAACGGTTTCAAACAAATTAATTACAAATATGCATAAGATGACAATTAAAAAACGAAAAGATATGAAATATTTCCGGTTCGTTTACAAAAGTTCAACTGACAGTTATGAAACAGTCACTTCATGAATTCAACATATATGTACGAGGTCACCTCTCTGTACATGGTGGTGCAGATATACACTTGACTCTTGGTGTGGGATGTGTGTGGTCCTGGTCTCAGCTGGTCACGTGGTCTTGTCTGCATGTTGAGCATCAACCACTGTTCCAGCAAGACACCATTGTAAGACGGCAGCCAGAATATCTGGAAATAAAAATATGATAAACATATGAATGCTTAATAAACAAGATCATTTCAAGGTGATATTTGATATATTTAAGTACCGGCGGGTGGTGGTTAAAGCGTTCGCTTGTCACACCGAAGACCCGGGTTCGAATCCCTAAATGGGTACAGTATGTGAAGCCTATATGCATGTCTGGTGTCCCCCGCCGCGATATTGCTGGAATATCGCTTAAAGCGGCGTAAAACCATACTCACTCACTGACATATTTTAACTTGTGTCGTCCCATCAGATGAAATCAACAGATAAACGGTAAAGTAATTAGTTTGTGATCTTCCTAGTTATTGAAGTGTACAGTAGTTCATACATCTTCCTTGGGACAACAAACACCAACTTAGCAAACCCATGGCAACTTTGAAAAGATGTGCTCAGCACTTGCAGATGTAACTGTCCGTACCACCATGGCCCCTTTCCGTCAAACTTGTATAGAAAATTGATTTCACATACTGCTTGTTTTTACTGTTGATACTGACTTAAGGGAAGCATATATCCTAAAGAAATGCCTGCGTTTACCAAATTTGTATTCATGTAAATCTCGGTTGAACTCTAATGATGGAAAAACAATTTTAAGGTTAGCACTAGTTGTTCACGATGTGCTTTTTCGGGGCAAGAATTTTGTAGTATCGTGACGTCACTTCGTAAAATAACAGTGTACACCCACTTTGTAACATTATCCTCACAGATGTAGAGTATGCAGTACATCTCTATAGCTGTGCTGTGCTCACGGATATTACCTCTTTGTACCCTTTAGTGAAATAAAACATCTTGATCTTTGGGGCAGTTGGGTATCCTAGTGGTTAAAGCACTTTTCGTCACACTGAAGACCCGGGTTCGATTCCTGAGATGGGTACAATGTGTGAAGCCCATTTCTTGTGTAACCCGCCGTGATATTGCTGGAATATTGCTAAGAGCGGCGTAAAACCATACTCATTTACAATCTTGATCTTGATATGTTTGACTGAACTAGGTACATGCTACTATCACCATGAAGCCATACTTACTGATGACTCCTTCTGGAGGACGATAGGCCTGCTTCTGAAAATTGGCACTGTTGCCGAAAGAAGATGAGCCAGGAAAAAACACACTAGGGCCACAATAGCAGCCCATAGATGTCCGTTGACGTCAGCGCACGCCCCCGGAGAGAATGGCATGACAAAAGTACACCAGTCTTTCACCAACATCACCACCAGGAAGAGAGGACCGGTCAAACAAATAGGGACAGCGAAGGCCCATTTCTGAGTGGCAATTTGACATGCGAAGAATGAAAGGGCATAGCCTACCATTGTTGTGAGTATGTTTATCAGGAAGTAGTCAAAATCACTATCCACCTTAAAGCTCCATGCATCAAGAAATTCCTGATGAGTATTTGCCTTGAAGCGGGTTTGACTGCTGTAGATGGTGCTATCAACATAGAAAAAAATATAGCTAAAAATCAGCACCCCGACAACTTTGACAAAGTTGGAAATAACTGCCATCTTCCATGTCGTACTTAGGCTTTTTGGGGTAACAAAAGACGTTTGGTCACTGGTTTCATCAATATTTGCATCCTCTATTGTGCTAGGGTTGGTGGAACTGCTGGATTGGGCAGGTCTCTCATACGTGTCATACCCGGAAGTCGTGTCGGGTGTTGAATAGTCAGTGACTTCATCTTCCAGTTCAGTTTCCAGTTTCGGCGTTACCGTCAGTTGTTGTATGTGGGGATCCCAGGCTACAGTGAGACAGGCAAGGGCAACTAGAACATGCCACAGTTTACCAGTATTTTGGTCTGAAGCAAGGTACAGAACAAACCCAAGACCTGTGACCTGAAGCAAGGCGGCCACCAGAGACACCAAGATCAACAGCTTGCCTTGTGGACGTTCTTGTCTTTGTCTTATGTTAAATACGGTGGTGCTTATGAATGGTATAACAAACACAGCATTCATAAGAAGTATCACCACAAACCCACCAAAGTTCACCAAAATCTTCCAAGCAAACAAACACACTCCAAATGACTCCAGCACTGCAACAGCAACTCCCTGAAAGAAGAAACATAGTTAATGGAATGGATCTGATACTAACCCTGTGATATTCCGTTGAAGAAACAATGACTTACGTCGGTCTAATGCGTGTAATGTCAACCGCTGTTTTCTTACCAAAATAGAATAATTTAATTACATGCCTCCCAGATATAAGGAAGAGAAAATATGGATGTCAACTTCTTTATTATGAGGAACACAACGTTTCGGAGTATATGCTTACTCCTTCATCAGGTAAATCCATCATTCATCCGATGAAGGAGTAAGCATATACTCCGAAACGTTGTGTTCGTCATATAAAAGAAGTTGACATCCATATATTCTCTTCCTTCACCTGATGAAGGAGTAAGCATATACTCCGAAACGTTGTGTTCCTCATAATAAAGAAGTTGACATCCATATATTCTCTCTCTCATGTGAATCACTTCTAAATGCCTTTCAAAGACCTCCCAGATATAATTCGAATATTAACCATAATACAACATTCACACATTCATTCTTGCCTATGACATACCAAAGGAATGGGTTAATTATACATATCCAAATTAGCAGTATGGCAAAAGAAAGTATACAATTGGAAATTGCATTGCATACACCATTTTTGTTTGTTTCGGTTTCAGCGACCATCCACTAAACAAGGGTGTATGCGTTCCGTCGCCCGAAGGTTTAGATCACAGTGAGTAATTGAGGTATACCAACTGTGAAGGCACTAAGATCTGGTTGAGAGTGCTAATTGAGGCGGCAGCTGGGGAGCTCTGGTTTGACCCAACATGTGAAGCAGCAACAGCCCTCCTCCTGTTTTCATGATGTACAATGGACTGGGGACCTATTCCTTTGCTCCTGAATCACCGCAGGACTAAAGGAATAATCATTCCGTGTTTGGGGCATTTTAGCCTTATCATGCTTGGGTGTCTATTGAAGGTCTATGTCAAACTCGATTAAATAAAAATGGGATTGGGTAAAACCCTGTGTACAGGATCACTAGGGCGGGGAAACAAATAGCTTTTGGAGAATTTCAGTTTTAGGTTAAGTTGAGAAACGGTTCAGATTTCAGTAAAGTTTGAAAACTCGAAGCAGTTACAAATCACTTATGATAAGCTGTCAATGATTCAGTCAGCATACTTGTGTCATATGACTGCATGAGGTTCAAAGCTACTTTGTGTGTAGACCTCCCGAAAGCTTGAGCACAGATTATAATGAGCACTTGTGACTGGAATTTGACAAAACATTATGTTTATGATTTCTATGTAGGTTGACATTGAAGGACATTGTAATTAAACCGGAAGCGATCATCCGGTGTGAAGGTAGCTGGTGGACATATTGTGTCAAAGTTGAGCGCTTGTGAGGTCAGCTTCCCCTGTCACAATGGTTCATGATGCATGTTTCTGATTGGAGTGAGGGAGTGAGTGAGTTTGGTTTAACGCCGCTTTTAACAGTATTCCAGTTATATCACGGCATATGGGAGGAAAGCCCCAAGTGATGCAGGTCTCAGACGTTTACCACTTCGGTGAAACCCACGAGCACGGGCAGGGTGCTGACAAACCTAGAAAGATAATCGGGGCGAACCGGGATTCGAACCCACAATCATAGGTTTAATAACGTTTTTATTTAAATATTTGTGCTACCTTTACCCTGAAAACTACTTCATTGATGTTTGTCCAACTGGGGGTACATTTTCTACACCAATAGGAGAGGTGCAGTGCAAAGGTTGATTTTGTAAAGTGGATGTTCTGAGAAAATAATGCTGTTTTCATGTTTTGAACTTAGAAATATGTTGGGGTCGATGTTGGGGTAATAGTGAGCCCTGTCTACTTTTTGCCTTGTCTGAATTGGCTATATGTGTTGGCTTGGACGACCGGTCGTGGTTTGACTGCCCAACACACACCAACATTCATCCGGTAACTGTAGTGTTGTTGACTGCCCAACACACACCAACATTCATCCGGTAACTGTAGTGTTGTTGACTGCCCAACACACACCAACATTCATCCGGTAACTGTAGTGTTGTTGACTGCCCAACACACACCAACATTCATCCGGTAACTGTAGTGTTGTTGACTGCCCAACACACACCAACATTCATCCGGTAACTGTAGTGTTGTTGACTGCCCAACACACACCAACATTCATCCGGTAACTGTAGTGTTGTTGACTGCCGAACACACACCAACATTCATCCGGTAACTGCAGTGTTGTTGACTGCCCAACACACACCAACATTCATCCGGTAACTGTAGTGTTGTTGACTGCCCAACACACACCAACATTCATCCGGTAACTGTAGTGTTGTTGACTGCCCAACACACACCAACATTCATCCGGTAACTGTAGTGTTGTTGACTGCCCAACACACACCAACATTCATCCGGAAACTGTAGTGTTGTTGACTGCCCAACACACACCAACATTCATCCGGTAACTGTAGTGTTGTTGACTGCCCAACACACACCAACATTCATCCGGAAACTGTAGTGTTGTTGACTGCCCAACACACACCAACATTCATCCGGTAACTGTAGTGTTGTTGACTGCCCAACACACACCAACATTCATCCGGTAATTGTAGTGTTGTTGACTGCCCAACACACACCAACATTCATCCGGTAACTGTAGTGTTGTTGACTGCCCAACACACACCAACATTCATCCGGTAACTGTAGTGTTGTTGACTGCCCAACACACACCAACATTCATCCGGTAACTGCAGTGTTGTTGACTTAGTCACTCATTATTCATGAACAGCATGTAAAAATACTCACTATTATCATAGACTTTCCGTTTGGCCATGGCATGTCCTTCCGGCAGGAAGCAAAGAACCCAGCTCTTAGAAAATTGAAACAGTATGGCACCAACAAGATGAGTGATATCATGATAAAAATACGGGTGGCCTCAACCCTCTCATTTCTGGCCACATTGTCTGGCTTTCCTGTTGTGTTAACATTCAGCTTGGCTGCTAGGCTGATGATCGACAACTTGCTTGCTGAAACACACGCGAGGATAGCCACTCCCAGAAGGAATGTACATATCCACTTTACTATCGGAACCAGTATTGTTGGTTTGTTAGAAGCAAGCATCTTCTCATGAAGCTTCTCATCCACCTTCCATTTCTTGTTCACTGTCAGGTCAATGTTAGCGTCGGTCCCAGGGTCTCCTCCTGACGTCACAGAATCAACAGAGCCCATGGAACCCCCGTGCTGCTTCGGGGAACTGGCGGGTATATCTCCAAGTGGCCGTGAGAGGACATAGGTCTGGTCCTTGTCATCAGTTCGAGGATCGTCCTGTGTCCCCTTGGCTGGACCCTCCTCATCCTGCATGGTGTTCATGGGAGACTCCTGGCTGTTACGCTCGTCAGCAACACTTTGCTTGTACATTCTGTTGGCCTTGTGCTTCAGTCTTTCTGTCGTGTTGCTGGCGTGAAGTTTTTATCCTGGAAAGAATTGAATGTTGCATGTTAATAATGATCGTATGTTATAGTATATCCAATTAAACAATAAGGTATGGTTGGCCAAGTTGCTGAACCGCTGCCTTATCCAAGGTTGGAATCTCATAATAACCACATATGCTTGTGTTTACACTCTTAGCTGAAAATAAGCCGACACACTTTGGTGTTGATGAAATGATTTTCAACGGCAGAGATTTAGCTCCTTCACTACATGCTATGCTATGTGTGTGACACCTAATAATGTCTGATCATGAAGAGCAGTGGGGAATCCCAGCGGTTATCGGGTAAGACCCAGGTGCGATTTTCCACATTGCTACAATGAATGAAGTTATGTACAATGTACATTTAAGGCCTTTTTGAACGGTTTGTTAGTTAGATTGCGACGTATCCGGGTATGTTAGTGCTGCCTCAACGTTCCTATGTTTGATAGTTATAGCACAGCGTGGTCGTGTATCTCAGTGGCATAACAACGTTCCACCATATCTGTACGTACATGTTTGTATCCATGACACGGATCTGTGTGAGCAGTGGGTTGACGAAGGGTAGTGACTCGGAACGTAACTGCAGTTCACAAGCGGTAATGTGATCAGATATCCTGAATGACCTTGTTCTACTGAAACAGTCGCCCCACTAATGACTGAATGACACGCAGGTTTTTAACTATATTTTCAAAGGATGTGACGGGCACTGTTTATCCTGCACAGCTGGCATGCGCTGCTCCACTGGCGCTCGGTCGTTCTAGAAATGTGGTGGTGGTGTGTGTGTGTGTGTGTGTGTGTGCGGGGGGGGGGGGGGGGGGGGGGGCATTGCCTTTTTGTTCAAGCGTTTGTTCGTCGCGCCGAAGACATGGGTTAGATTCCACACACGGATACAAAGTGTGAAGCCCATTCGTGTTGTTGTTGGCATATAGCTAAAACCATACTCATTCAAGAATTGTCATACTTTTGTATTTAATTCTTTACGTGATATCAGGGGACCATGTTCTGAATTAGGGGCAGTGAGGTTGCGTCATGGCTAAAACGTTCACTCGTCACGTAGATGTTTCGATTCCCGACATGGGTACAATGTGTGAAGCCCATTTCTATTTTCCACCACCGTGATATTGCTGGAATTTTGCTAAAAACGGCGTAAAACCATACACACTCATTATTATTAATAACATGCGACCAAAACCAAGCATAAGACTTACATACTTGCGATGACAACAACTGCTTGCAGAGTGGTAGAATGTCTCCCTTTGTTTCCCGTCTCGTTATCACGCCTTACTTGACTCATGCACAGGTCTACCTGTCTGTCACATGCCGTCTGATTGGAATGTAAAAAGAGAGGGAAGATCCTGTACTATTTGAGTCAATATATCGTCTTTCAGGAGACTGTAAACAAGGGGAGAAAATAGGTCCAACGCAGAGTCTCGTGATTGAATATTTTGGGAAACCTCGTGCACATATAAACTCCACCCACACTGCGCCATGTCAACGTGACAAAACAGGACGTAATGTGATTGTGTGTAACCTATATGTAAATGGCCTAGGGGTTTCTATGCGGGTAGAGGGGGGGGGGGGGGGGGGGGGGAGAGAGAATTTACATTGGAGAGCGGATCTCACAACACATAGCTTGAGCGGAGACATGACAGAGCGCTGGGATGGTTGTCTGGGCTTGCGTGATCGGCACTATTGTTTTAGAGTGCTATACTCCACTACTGAACAGATACGGAGTGTTATTTGTTGGTATAAGCGAGTGTAAGCGAATTTAGCACAATGACGTCATTATTTGGGTTGAACTTGTCACTGTTATAGTGGTAACGTGACTCAGTTGCACCTTTTACGGTCAGTATGAGTTGTAACTCGGTACTCTCACAGTGTCAGTCAACAGTTTTGGAGGTACCAAACTTAAGGCACCGAGAACAATGGGGAGCCGGATTTTATCATCTCCACATCATCATTATTATCGTCGTCGTCGTCGTCATCATCATCGTCGTCGTCGTCGTCGTCGTCATGGTCATCGTCGTCGTCGTCATCATCATCACCACCATCATCCTCTTCATCATCATCATCACTATCAACATCACCATCACACCACCACCATCATCATCTTCATCATCATCATCATCATCATCATCATCTTCATCATCATCATCACTATCAACATCACCATCACACCACCATCATCATAATCTTCATTATCATCATCATCATCATCATCATCGTCGTCGTCGTCCTCGTCATCATCACCACCACCATCATCATCTTCATCATCTTCATCATCATCATCATCACCATCACTATCAACATCACCATCACATCATCATAATCTTCATCATCATCATCATCATCGTCATCATCATCATCACCACAACTACCACTATCATCATCATCGTCATTAGTATAATCATTATCTTTATTATTATTGCCATTATAAACAGCAACAGTTGTGTTACCACATACATGGACACAGGGGTACATGTTTTCCTTGTTGCACACAGAATGTAAACACACAATACCAGCAGGACGAACAGAGCCTTGCCCCGGAGATCGCTGTCAGTATTTGTGTAGGTGTCACCGAACTGAAAGTTGACAAGTAGCGTGTGACTGGCTGGTCTGACAGAGAAGGATATGACACGGGTGAACAGATATTTAAGATATGCTGCATTTTGACACAAATACCGCGCGGTGTCCATAACACAGCTAAATATGCGTAGCAGTGAAATTGTCACAAGGTCCACATTAAGTGCGTCCTCCTCCTCAGGTTTAACAGTACAGGGGGAGGAGAGGGGGTGTCGTTTGTAATGACTGAAGTCATACAAGGTGACAGTGACAGTGTTTTCTGACCTGCTCGCTACCAGCTGATAGCATCATGTACAACTGCGTAATAAACTCTTATCACCCACTGTTATCCTCGTCGCTTGTCTAACATAAAACTGTGTGAGAGCATTAACGTGTGTCTGTGTCTGTGTGTGTATCTGTCTGTCTGTCTGTACTAGTCAGGGCTAATGCCCATTTTATAGTGTTAGCCCACTGAGATACCATGCTGCGGTTTAACATGAATACTGTTTAACGCAGTAAACTGACTCCGAGCTGACCAGTCCTTTCTTTAGCCCCTTCATTCCGACCTTTACTTCTACTAATGTCTCTCTGTGAATTATGAGATCAAGATCATAATTTAGCATTGTTTCACGACATTGCTGCTTTAAGGTGACATTTGCTCTTCGCTGATTGAAAATGTTAACCCCAAAAGGGAGTGTTCCTCCCATTCTGCCCTATCTATACACGCTCAAGCAGAAACAAATAAATGTCCGAATGTTCGTTCAAAAATCTGAAAACGCTTAATTGCTATTTCTCCGACGAGTTTTACTTTGCATTTCAACCTTAAGGAAGTGGTTCACAACTAATGCATGCACGAGACCTGCGTCAAACGTAGACCAGAACCTTCTGCTATCTGTACAGTCGAAGGTTATCTCACCCAAAACACGTGTTTTATGCTTAACCTTAAGCTTGGTATCTCCGCAATGTAAGTCTTAAAACATTTCATTTCATTCATATTTCAGCCACAAAACCGGGATTTGTAAATATTTAAATATAAACCAGACAAACAAGTGATTGATGTCAAGAGAACCTAGCCATGGACACGCGTTCAGCCAAGTCACCTGACCACCGGATTCGATATGCGGCCTATGACGTCAAACATAGGTTTCCTAGGTAACTCCACAAAGTGATATTCAATGTAAAGTAGTCTTCAGTGTAAACAGATCCTCGACACCCGTGAAGATCCGGCGTAGAATAGGTCTTCAGCAACCCATGCCTGACGTTAAAGGCGACTATGCCTGTAGTAAGAAGCGACTAACGGGATCGGGTGGTCAGGTTCGCTGACTTGGTTAATGCATGCCATCGTATCTTAGTTGTGTAGATCGATGCTCATGATGTCAATCACTGGATCGTCTGGCCCAGGCTCGATTATTTACAGACCGCCGTCATACAGCGGGATTATTGCCGATTGGCGTTAATCAACAAACAAACAAACACACAAAAACATCATCGAAACATTTGCAAAGTAATAGTAAACCTTTAATATTATTTTGTAACGGACGGAGGCAGAATATCAGTGACGTCACTTTGATAGCGTGCCCCGGGAAAACCCTCTCCTCAGCAGTCACCTAACAATTCGGACACCATGGCACGTGCTAACGAGCTGATAAAACACAAAACATTTTCAGACATCAGTCTACTTGTTATCAGTTATCATACTTATTTTCAGTTTTCCCGATCCGTTTCCATTTTCGTAACCGCCTCCGATGTCTAGTAGATAGAGCGTTTGCCCTGCGAGTGGAAGGTCGATGGTTCGATCCCCTGGCCGACACCAATGGCATTAAAATATGGTACTTGTTGTTACCCTTCCTGGCGCTGGGCATTAAGGGGATAACGGAAGAACAAGTCGGCTCGGAGTTAGCATACTGTGTCAGAGTTGGTGTCAATCTTAAGTTGTGGTACGGTATCTCTGTGGTATAAATTGCAATAAAAACCAACATTAGTCCTGGCTAGTACCAGCACACGCACCCA